ACTTGCTGCGCGGCGCATCTGGTTCGCATGTCGTCTCCATAACTGATCGTCTTCAGTAAGCACGCCATATAGTGCTTCTCCATAGCGTTTCTTCACTCGAGCTGGAATCCATTTTCCACCTCCAGAGCGAAAATCACGTACCCAGACGGATTCTTGTGGCTGGTACTCCTTTTTCCGTGCTCCATGGTGACGGTTAAACTGCTTCTCCATGTTCTCATTGCACATCTTTCCTTCTTCTTTGAACTCTTCGTTTAACAGCGACAGCGAGGTCCTCATCTGACGTCCCAGCAGCAGCTCGGCAGGCGAACGTTGTCCTGGAGCAGTTGTACAAGGCGTCCTTCGATAAGATTGCAGAAACTCCTCGAGTTTCTCTGCCGTTCCTCCCTTTTTAATTTTCTGGAAGGTTCTCTTGAAGATATATATCCACAAACCTCTCCGCTTGTCCATTTGATTGTGGATGGAATGGGGGAGAACGCATGTGCTTGATTCCTCGCTCTTCACGGAAATCTTGAAACTCCTTTGCTGTGAACTGCGTCCCATTATCCGACACGATCACTCGCGGATTTCCAAATCGTGCAAATAGAGATCTGAGTTCCTTCAGAGTAGCTGTAGTTGACGATGAAGGCATCTCAAAAACTTCTGGCCATTTCGAGTAAGCGTCAACTACGACGAGATACATCTTACCATTCAGCGACCCTGCGTAGTCAATGTGAAGTCGATTCCATGGTTTGTCTTCTACTTTCCATGAATGCGGTAACGTCTTCACTGGCATTTTGGAGGCTTCTTGACAATCCCTACAGCGGCGCACTGAATCTTCAATTTCTCTGTTGATGCCCATCCAATATGCGAATCCTCTTGCGAGCATCTTCATCCTTGTCATTCCGAGGTGTCCCTCATGTAACTGCTTCAGAACGGCTTGTCTCAGCGAGGCTGGAATGACTATTCTGTGGGCGAAATACAAATATCCGTTCTGCACTGATAAATTCTCCCTCAGTGCTCTCCAATTTCGGACTTCTTCTTTCGGTTTGGACGGCCATGCTCCCGATTGCAGCATTTATATGACTTGCGCAATGGTTTCGTCCTTGCGGGATTCTTCTTCTATCTTTCTTCGGGTTACTGGTAATGCTCGTACAGCAGCAGCTTGGACGGCTCGCACATGTTCTTCTATTTTCGCTATGACGACGTCTTCTGTCTGAAATGGCCTTGAAGGGATCAGTCGAGACAGTGCATCGGCTTGTCCGAATTCGGTCGTCTTGCGGTACTCCAGGTCGAAGTCGTATGCGAGTAAAATGAGCTTCCATCGTTGCAATCCGTTCGCTGTGTACACAGGCACCATCTTCTTGGGTCCGAAAATGTGTAGCAGCGGTTTGTGATCGGTGAGCAATCTGAACCGTCGTCCGTATATATAGCGATGGAACTTACGAACTGCGAACACCAGTGCTAGTCCTTCTTTTTCAATTTGTCCGTAGTTCCTTTCTGCTGCGGTGAGGCTCCTGCTTGCATGGCAAATGGCCTTCTCTGTACCATCCGGCATCTTGTGCACAATCACAGCACCGATTCCGTAGTCCGATGCGTCGGCGTCTACCACTGTCTGCAATTTTGGATCGAAGTGTGTGAGGAGTAGATCAGAAGATAAAACCTCCTTGGCAAGCTTGAATGCGTTTTGACATTCCTCTGTCCATTCGAACTTTGCGTCCTTTTTGAGCAATGCGTCCAAAGGTGCACGAAGTTGGCGCACTTCTGCTACGAATAATCCGTAGTAGTTGATCATCCCGAGGAAGGATCGAATATCCGCTATGTTCTTCGGAGCTGGTATCTGTTGAATGACCTCGATCTTCTTTGGGTCGTCCGGCCGGCGTCCGTTTTTGTCGATGATGCAACCTAAGTAACAAATCTCTGGCATCAGAAAGTTGCATTTTTCCAACCTGACGTGGAATCCATAGTCCTTGATTCGCTTGAACAAGGCTTCCAAGTTTTGGCGATGTTCCTCATAATTCCTTCCAGTGATGATGATGTCATCAAGATAAGCGGCTACTCCATCAAGCCCACTTATCATGGAATCCATAATCGGCTGGAATATACCTGGGGCCAATTTCGCTCCAAAGGGAAGACGATTGTAGCGATACAATCCCTTGTGCGTATTGATAGTTAGCATTTCCTTCGATGCTTCCTCAACTTCCACTTGCAAATATGCTTCGGCCAAATCGAGCTGAGTGAAGAGCTGGCCTCCATTGAGTTTGGTGAACACATCCTCCGCTGTGAGCAATGGGTGCTGATGCAGCTGCAATGCATCGTTGAGTCCCGTCGAGAAGTCGGCGCATAGATGGATCCTGCCATTCTTCTTGACGGCGACTATTGGAGCGGCCCACTCTGAGTGTTCCACGGCAGAAATGACTCCTTCGGCCACCAGCCGGTCAATTTCTGCCTCCAGTTCCGGTGCTGTGGCGTATGGAACTGCTCTCTTCTTCTTGAAGACGGAACAGCATCCTTCTTCAAGACTAACCTGGCCTTGCTCTTCTTACATTTCCCTAGTTCGCTCTTGAAGACATCCGGATACTTGTTCTTCAAGTCGGCGACAACTTCGGCTCGAATTGCTTCTTCGCTAGTCACTTTCCTGCAGTTGTACTTAGTCTTCAGTTTCTTGTAAGCTGGCAATTGGATACACCACTCCAATCCCAGGAGATTCGAGCCTTCGGTGACATAGCAGGTTCCTCTTCCATGGACCATCCGTCCTGTAACAGGATCTTTGACCTTGAAAACAGTTGAAAATTTACCATCGATCTGCATTGATGTCCCATCTGCAGTTTTGACAGGCATCACGCACGGTTCTAAATCTGGAGATCCTATCCTCTTCCAGGCTTTACGGGATATCAGCGTTATATCCGCACCAGTGTCCAACTGGAGCTTGAGGGGTCATCCTTTGACAACAACGTCAAAGTAGGTGCGGGCGTTCTCGGCGTCGAAGGCGACCACGTTCTTGCATTGTCTTCTTCGACCATAGGGCTGAATCCCTGTCTTCCGTCGCTTCCTTCGGCCCGTTCTAGGAAGTTGTGGACAATCTCTGCTGAAATGCGGACCTCCACATCTGAAACAATCCACCTTTTTCTTCCACACCGCATGGACATCGCGGGTTCCTTCCATATCCGTGTTGTCCATCTTCGACGCGGTGTAATTCTCGCATTCGCTGACCAAGTCCTCGATTGTCAGCGGCGTTTCGTTCGTATGTGCATCCAGTCTGCGAATCATCCTGAGGCGGACGTCTCGCAATGATCTTGAAGAGCGGCCACGAATTGTAAGGTCTTCATCGTAGTGTAGTCGAGCTCCCTGAGTCGAGCGTCCTCATCCATCCGCTTGATTGTGTTGGCGTATTCTCGGAACACGGTACATACGTCGGCGTAAGCGGTGGGCAGGTGACGCGGAGGCACTCGAACCTTCTTCTTATCAGCGTCTTCTTGGATGCGAACAGCTTCTGAAGTTTTTCGATAGTTGTGCTAAAATCCAAGCCGTGTGGCTTTGCAGGCAGGACCTCATCTGCATACTTCCGGTATGCTTCTTCGTCCAGCTTCATGAGGACCAGGTCACGCTTCTTGTTGTCTGGCAACAAGGAATCGCTTATAACCGGTCCGTACCTGCTGTACCAGTAGGCAAAGGATTACCTGTGTCTTCCTCGGAGACGAACCTTTGCACATCCTTGCTCAGCTGATCGTATTGATCCTTGCTGACATCGTGTAAGGCTACGCTCTGGTTGTTGGCCAGAGTAGCGATCAGCATCCTCATTTGTTCCTGTTGGGCTTGCATCTGGATCCGAACTTCTTCTTGTTGAAGCCGCATCTGCTCCATCATGACGTTGAGGACCTTCTCCAGATCCGTCGCATGCCGCTCTTCTGCAACCTTCGGCATGGCTCCGCTGCAACGACGAGATTTCTTCCCTCTCGTCGATCGATACCAGTTGTCAAATCAAACTTATCTGGAGAAGATGTCCTTGAAGTCGACTGGAGGCTTCTTCTTCTCCTTGGTCGGCGGTGGAGCTTCTTCTCGTCCTCGTTTGGTGGTGGAGTTCTTCTTGTCCTTGATCCTGATCGCCAGTTGATATGAAACGCGTTGAGCCGTTGACGATTTATTAGAAAAACACAAGAGTTCCCCCTCTGCCTATCGGCGTACGTGCGAGGGTTCACTAGGAATAACTAGAGAACAACACACACAAATATATCAAAGTGCGACGGGTACGCCGCAACCACAGAGACCATATCGACCTAGCCTATAGTGAGCGAGCAAGTTTCAATATAAGGGACGGCTCTACAACAGAAACCATGAAAAATTCAAAAAGCTTTTTAAATTTGCGTTCGTTCTTCTGCAAAAAGCTTCATTCACGCAAAATCACCGATTTCAGATGAAAAAGTTTTCGAAATGAGTAGTTGTTTACAGTTCATTTACGATAGTCGGCAGTGCGGGTGAGTTTCAGTGTCATTATTACTGAATGAGTAAGGCATAGGCACGCGCCATACTTGGTCCGCTTGATCCGCTTCATCATTGGTCAATACACTGAACTGACCAATAGTGAAGTGGATGAAGTGGATCAAGCGGATCAAGCGGACAACCCTCGTTATTGGTCAGTTCACTGCATCGACCAATGATGAAGCGGATCAAGCGGATCAAGTGGATTAAGCGGATCAAGTATGGCGCGTGCCATACAGACAGTAGGACCAGTGCGAGCCTCTGCGAAGCAGAGGTGACGCACTGGTAGAATTATATGAGAATAACAAAACAAAAAAGGAAAAGTGGCAAGAAGTCACGACGTTAATTCACCACGTTTTTGATTTTTTTGATTTGACTGCCTAAGCCGTAGAGCCGCCGTAAGATCTACAGCCGCTACTGAATGAAAGGAGTCATTACAAATGATACACACTACGAGCATTTCGGTTTTCTATCATTTAGGGCGATATAAGCGGCTATATAAGCAGAGTGATTCGAGTGTGATCCATTTTTACAGCTGGCTTTTATTTAATTGTACAACGAAATGATGTGCAACATAGAAGAAAAAGACTACTATCATGGATTGTTGAGAAGGTGCGTTGTATCAGAGGCGATTGCCATCAAACTCAGGAGACTATGAAAGCTAGATGCGAAGACAAATAGCGACGGAAGTTCTTTTCGTCATAGCTTGGAGTAGCAGTTGATGAAACTAGTCTGACACTCATCATTCGTAGTCACAGGATGTTATTAGGTTGAGAATTCCGTGGCTCACTGCTATATGATAGCGAGCGTCCTCGACCACGCCGATGCGCAGTGCGAAGCGGTAAAGTTAATCTAGAAGAGAGCTCCGGCTGCAGGGCCATTGCTGTTTTTCTCTCCAGCGACAAAGTGCGCATACCCTACGGCTGAGATCGTAGAGCCCTAAGGCGACCCTGCCTTAGTCTTCGCGGAGCTCTCTTCCAAATCCAAAATCGATTTGAAAGAAGCCTACCGTTTCGCTCTCCTCTCGGTGGATTTTCGGCTCACGGTCAAGCTCATACGAGGGGAAAAGCAAGAAATCGAGTTTTCGCCACAACACTGCTTTAAGACACACATACGTTGTAAACAGCAACACTTCAGAACTATCTTTTGTTTGAAGCTTCATTGCTACTCCCTTGTATCCTTGCATTTTTCTGTTTTGCAAGGTCTACCACTTGTAAAGCTTCCACGTTTTTCTTGGTCCACGATGTTGTTCATTTACCTCAAAAACATCTGCATCTGCTTCAACTCTGCTCTACCGTTTCAACTTGGGCACTTTCCTGCCACATTCACCACATAGCCGATCTAATAGTGATCTTCCCCTTCGTTTCAAAAGCCAACATCATCTAGGGCTTCTTTCTTGTGCCTCCTTGACGATGATGTAAATTTCATCACGCTCAATATCATTCGGGATATGGTCCAGCATGATGACTCGTATACACCTCAGCATACCTCCTTCTCCCTGATCTTCGTCACCTAATTAAATGTGCATGACCAGCATTCGCTCCCACATAGTCCTTCGGTCGGGCTACTGTTCGGTTTATTGGGACCTAAGCTTCGTAACATCCGATAACGCAAGACTTCTGATGCTCCTCCGGTTCATCCAAACTGCATTCAAAGGCGGTGTCTTAGCAGATTCTTGCCCTGTGGGATATAATTGAGGTAAGGTTCCTGGTCACTCCATTAACCTCCAAACCCATCGGGCTAGTTTATGTTCCCCCTGCGCCGAGAAAACAGCCTCCGAACTGGCGCGCGCGACCCCAATTGGTGCGTGCTTGGACGGCTCAACTTGCCTGTTCGGCGGGACCCCACGACCGCCCCGTAATTGTGCATCCTATTCAAAGCAAAATTACAGACGGCAGGGTCCTCGTGCCAGGGTCCCAACTTTTCACTGAAACTCTCGTCCTAGCTGCCTTTTGGGAACTAGGTAAACGCTTCAAACGGTCTTTTCACCCGGTTCAAGTTCGCCACAGAAACACATTTCCAAAACACTTGAAGGAGAAGCCTTACCGTGCCTCCGATCTTAATGTCCAAAATCTGGGCTCCTTCATATGCGGCAAAGCTGTGCTTCAGCTTTAGCCCTTGTGGTTCCAGCCAGCTTTCCCATTTCTGTCATACCTCTGCGATTCTTAACTGCATCTTGCCAGTAATGAGAACCCATGCCGGTTGCTATGAAGCTTTTGATATCACATATACGACTGTAATAATGCCCGCAGTTCATCAGTTTTGTCTCACTCCTCCTCCTCTAGATCCAAGAGTGCAAGTTGTAGTTAATATTGCTTTTTCTCGCTTCTTTTCATCGTTACCCTGACCATGTGCGTGACATCGGTTGAGCATCGTCTATCGTGTGTGCCTTGACCTCTAGAACGCGCAGGTTGGCCAGTTCTAGGATGCTGGAAAGAAAGTATCGTTTCTAGTCTTCTGAACATCAGGGTTCATAAATAGTATAAACACGTGTACAAGGAATTGCCTATGTCGTCCTTTCAATCGCTCGGCATCATTTTGGCTACTAATTGAACGAAAAGCTTGTAAGTCAAGTGAACTCAGCTTCTTTACTCTCTTTCCAGAACTCGCTGGAGATGTCGTCTGCCGTTCTGACATGCACAATGCGATTTCTCCTCTGTATAATGCTACCAGTTCTTGTACAAGCTAATCTGCTACGGTAAAGTCGACTTCACGAGATCGCCCGTAAGCGAAATGCCCGAGAGCGTACGTGCGACTGCCGAGGTGGCTTACGGGCTACAGGCTTGGGGGCACGAGTCATCACAGCGTTAACGCTCGGTGGGCCGGGATTCGCTACGGTCTTTCGGGCAATTCATGCAGCCTACTTTATATGGCTTTCCGTAGCTTGTAGTTGCAACGCGTTTGTAAACATTCACTTATCTCCAGCGCTTCTTTCTGGAAATTCTTCCCGCTCTTCCTTTATAGTGTAGAAAGGATTCGTGCTTTTCGTGGCTTTTGCTTTTCTTCTTGAGAATCTGTAAATTCCCTACTCTTCTTCGCTAGTAAGCAGCTCTTTGTAGAAACCTTGTGTGATTCCTTCGCTTACCTAACGCTCTTCTTGGCTGCATGATTTTCATTTGATTCTCCTAATGTGTATCTTTGACACTTAACTTCTATTTTAACTTAACGCGTCTTATTCCTGTTCAGTTTTTGTACAGTACTATTTCACCATCACATCTCACTACAGTTTCTGCACAAAACCCTGCGATGCAGTCGTCCGCTAATTACGGTACTGGGGACAAGTGCCTGGATGCTGCCCACGATTTGTACTATTTGGTGCGCTGTCATCTATCCATCGGGGTGTTTAAATTTAACAGCATTAAAGTACCTGAGTGCGTAATCTTTTCGAAAAGATCCCTTGTCCTTCACATACCAGAGCTCACTCTGTCAAAAATTACAAAGGTCTATTTATGTTTCCAATTTGCTGATTCGTCCGAACTCCATTATCCATTCTTCATTGTAGTTACGCTTCCGTATCCATTGTTTCGAAAAACTTCTGAGAACCGCCCACCGCTTTCTTGCATGTCCGTTAAGATCTGATTATGAAAGCATTTCTTTTTATACAAGCTCATGTAATCATCTGTTGGCATTGTTACATGAACCAACTCTCTCTCCTTCAACCACTACTGTGTTCATGAAACAGTCGCTTTTTTCACGGCAGTCATCCTGTCTCTCAGTGCTCCGATGACTAGTATACCTCACCACTTCTTACTACTTCACTTTATAGCTTAGTCGCTGCTCATGTCTCATACTTTCCTTCTGCGAATTTGGCCTCCGAATGCAGGCATGTTCATTTCACTCATTCTGGGAGGTTTGCCACTTCAGGATCTAAAGTTGTGTGAATTCCGTAGCTGGATGTAATCTTTCATGAAACTTGTAATTATCTGTGCCTTTTTGCTATTATAAGAGATAGTACTGAGATGATCCTAGCACTTTGTTTGCTCTCGTCGGGCTCGAGCGCGTCGCCTTTGAGGAGTAACCTCACTTTGACTCAATTTCGTCTAAGCATAAAAATTCTGTCCGAATACAAAAACCACCTATATAGGTGCAGGGGTTGTCTTCTTTAGTCGTTTCTTCGCTTGCTGGTCTTGAATGGGCACTTTAGAGCACCAAGCTCTGTCCAACTTTGCTCTATCAGTGACTGTCTGCTGCTCTAACAGCTTCTGCACAACCTCGATGCTCTTACTGCATTACTATAAAAATGCATATTTAGAGAAGACCTCGATGAGCTGTTCAAAAAAGGAGGCGATTATTTGGTGCGTATGGGAGAAACAAAGGAAGGAGAAGCAAAAGACTTTATCGTCTCGATCTCCCTTTGCTCAAAAAATGTATGGTTTGCTTACACTTGGAAATAAACTGGAAACACTCCTACCGCGTTCAGAGTTGCTCGTAGGCTCACGTCAGGAGGTACGCCGCGTGCGGCGCGCTTCGCCGCTCTCGGACTTTGTGCCCCGCAGAAACTCTCCGGTCCAAAGTAGTTAACTAGGAAGGTGGGAGTGGGAGACAGGATACATGACTAGTTGAAAATAGCATTGCAAAGGAGTGCTGGATCATGCAGTGTTGACGTCGTGTTGCGGCATCGTGCAAAAAAGTCTAGCCGAACTTACAACTGTCGACCAAGTGCTCCTTTTTCTGTAGAAGCTATGCAATCGCATTGCAGGGGCCTAGCGCGGCGACCCCTGATGGATGAGGCGAGTTTTGATCTGGATGCAAAAGGGAATAAAAGGTTGACACGGGCTGTACCTCCTGACCGTTCTCCTTGCTCATGTGTCTATCCTACGTTGAAAACGGGACATGCACACGGGCGATTCTGGACAGAAAGCGAAAATTTGACTGCAATCAAAGCTCATCTTGCTCTTGGTTAGATTTTATAAAATTTTTAATGCCATTGCAGAAGAAACAACTCAAACATTTCGTTATCTCTCGTACGCCGCACGGTTTTTCGGTGGACAATGTGAACTTCTTTCCCGATATTGTTCAGCTCATTGAGTATTATTCGGTTAGAAAAGTTGGATTAAATGGAGTAAGTTTTGAGAAGACGTTTTTAACAAGAGATGCTTTTAGTGCCTTTACAAAATGGAATCTATACTATTCTGAACAGCATCAAACGCTCATTGAAACCTAATTCTGGCATTTGCTAAGCGCCTCTGGACGCCGAGTTATGAGCACTGGTTGAGAAATTGTGTACGCAATCGGAAAAATTTTCTGTAACAGTTCAAATGGTCTAGTGTGGAATATAAGACGCGATTGCCTTCCTAATACACGCATACTCAACACAGCCTCAGACAGTCGCGTGGGGCACGCGAACAGCAAATTCGTGCTTTTTGCAGGTGGTCAGCAGAATTTGGGAGTAACCAAATCTTCAGCGAGCGGTACTTCCTTTACCGACGCATGTTCTGCCATTGGGCATCAATACAGGTTTTCTGCGAGCGGTAGTCAAATAATTTTTCTCGTCGAGCGCTGGCACAATTTTCAGCAAACGCTCTGACTCTTGTTACGCCGTTTCGGGCATTCGCCGAGTAAGGTAACACTCTACATGACAGAGGTGCCATCGGTGGTTCAATTACCCGAGTTTGAAGTACTTTCTCTCAGCGGAAGGTTTCTGCGGGCTGTGCGGTCCTTCACGTTTGCGCCACTGCGCCGAAACTAATCCATGAAGAAGCCGCAATGTTCTCCAAGCATTCATCTAAAACTTGGCCAACATTCTTTCAAATATCTGCAGGCGGTCCGCAAGAAATCAACGAACTATTTTTCCGATGCTCAAATAATCGCCGCGGCAGGCGGTCCGCAAACTCGCGCTTTTCTGCAGGCGGTCAGCAGGATTTTGAGGCGTGGCCAAACCTTCAGCGGGCGGCAATTCTTTATGGTCGCATATTCTGCCAGAGGGCAGCAATACAGCAGTTTTTGCAAGCGCTCGGCAAATAATTTCTTTCAGCGAGCGCTGGCCAAACTTTCAGCAATCGTTCGGACTCTTTTTACGCATTTTCGGGCGTACGTCGAGCACAAGTAAGACTCTGTGTAGCAGAGGTGTCACCGTTGGTTTGATTACTCAAGTTTGAGGTACTTTCTCTCAGCGGAAAGTACCTACGGGCTGCGCAGTCCTTCACAAAGGATCGTGCGGCCGTCAATAATTTTGCATATTCTCGCGGAAAGTCCGCGAGAACGCGGCTAATGCGCCGCAACTAGTCTATAGAAAAACTGCCATAGTTCTCCGAGCATTTGTCTGAAAATTGGTCAACATTCTTCCAAATTTCTGCAAGCGGACTGCAAGAAATCAGCGAACTATTTTTCCGGTGCTCGCCTGCTCAAAATTCGCATGGCTGCCTGCCCGCAGCGGTTATCTGAGGTTGTATTTGCGCTTTTAGGCACCAAAACAATTAATTTTAACAAATTCTGCGTGATTTTTTTTTGCTTCAAACGCTCATAATTTTACCACATGTTCTCGTCTTGGAATCTGGGCATCTTCAATTTTAAGTTGTTCTATTCTTATGCCGCACAGGCTTTTTTCCCCACCAGAATGTTTGATGGACATCACACTAGTTGAGTGCGAACTACCAACTGTACGATGGACTGAAGACCTTCGACGAAGACGAGTTGTTCGAAAGGTTTACTCAATAAATCTATAGGCCGTCCGCGCAAGGCGCGGAGAGTGCGCAAGGTGTGTATTGCGCGTTACTCCTCTTTCCTTGTGCACTCTCACCGCCTGTTTTTCTCTGCGCTTCTTCCAGTCGTGAACTGCCTTCAGTGTACGCAACAGCGTTGCTCTCCGTGCGCAGCGCGGACGGCCTATACCATATAGTGTGGACCCCGGCCAGCTCCCCATAGGTACCTGCGCGACGCTCCCGCAGCGCATGCCTTCAGTGCGCTTTCGTTTCTGCTTCGTATGGAAATTGTTATGTTTTCTTCTCTAAACTGGCTTTGTTCTGTTTGTGAACGCTCTGTTTCAGGTGTAGACGACTCAGGACACTTCCTACGATGAGTTTTTAAGAGCCTCAGTAGTCTTAACAGCCTCTGTCTCAGGAATTCGCTTTTTTTCCAATAGCGGAGATTTTAGCATATTTTAGTGGAATATTTCTCTAAAGATTGATTACAGGGTAAGCGTGCCTATCCGATTGATTTATAAAGTATTATTCTTTTGTAATGCGTCAGTGGGGCTCTGATTGCACAAATGTGCTCGCTAGCTTACGCTTTTTGATTTTTTTCAAATGATCACAGAAGGAAACGTTTCGAAAGTAGCTCGACTCTTTGTCTCTTCTAGAATTCTCAATCAGCGGTACTTTCATGCTAGCATGCAGGAGAGACTGATATCTGCGCGCTAGTGGGGGTTGTGAACGTTCTCTTCTTGCCTAGGCCTTTCTCGAGCTGAGACTGATAGTTTCCACTTCTTATTTCATTCCTACATCATGTAGAAATGCTTTTTTACTCATAAATGAACGAAAAGCGTCAGGCCGAGCGCGCGTTGCGTATGCGCCGCGGCGGTACCTATGGGAAGCTGGCCGGGGTCCACACTATACCAACCTATGCGGCATAAGAAGTAGAACATCAACTTACACTTATAGAGTAGGGTCCAAAGGCGTTGAAGGTTACCAAACACTATACGTAATCACGTTTGATGCTCTACTCAATAATGAATTTCGTTCAGAAAAGCCACTTCTACCTAGTAAGAGGTAAGCAATATTTTACAGATTCTTTTCCAGACAGAAGACACCGTTTTGAAACGTCCTATTTGCCGCGCCAGCTGGGAACTCACTCATGGTCAGGTGGAACTGGGCGAAAAGCTAGGAGAAGGTGAGGCAGACTCGTTTTGTGGACTATTAGAAACTGTAGTTTTTAGGACATTTTGGATCTTTGATGAAAGGTAAATTAACTTTGAACAACACTCAACGACATATTGATGTGGCAGTGAAGACGGCGAAGAAGGAATGCTCTGAGAATGAGGTGCTGTCACCCGGCTACTAGACAGCCGCTATGTTGTTGAATGACAAGCTGTTTATGCAAAGCATTCAGATAGCAGAGGTTCTCAAAGAAGCTAGAATAATGCGCAATATGATATACCCACACATCGTTCGCCTCTATGGAGTAGCGGTAGACAAGGAACCAATACTTATAGTTATGGAATTGGTAAGATAATACCTTGTTTGCATCTCAAACTTCTTGCTTGAAACTGGCTTCAGATGGCAAATGGTGATCTCAAGTCGTTCATGCGTAAGAAACCATCGAATAAGAAACAGAAATTGTGCTGGACGGCGCAAGCGGCTTACGGTCTAGACTATCTTCACTCGAGACACTTTATACACAGAGATATCGCAGCTCGCAATTGCCTGCTTTCTAAAAATCTTACGGTATTTTTCTAAGAAAGGGGTTGTAGGCGTCGATATGGAGATGTTTTCAGCTGAAGATTGCTGACTTTGGGCTGGCAAGAGAAGGCGATGTGTATACGGTGGCGACGCGTCGAAAACTGCCTGTAAAATGGATCTCACCGGAAGTTCTAGAGAACAATGTTTTCTCATTGAAAAGCGATGTGTGGAGCTTTGGAATACTCGGTGAATCATCAAATATTGAGCGGTCCCTGCTCTCGCTTCCCTATCGATGACTTACGAGAAAATGCAGCAGCAAATCTTTTTCTAAATAGAGGAACGCGCTTTGATAGGGAGTCAAAAAGCTTTGGAAACTGACGGCGATTTCATCAGTGTGATATCTACCAGATGAGAGATTTGATCGGAACAACTTGGGAGGCGTTGAGAGAAACTAACTTCTCCCGGGAGAAGAAGGGGCAGGTTTCAAGATCCCGACTGGTTAGGGTCTTGAACATAGATCTACGGTGTGACACTAGTCTAAAGAAATATATATATACAAAGGAAGCGACCTTGTGGAAGCTCATGGGACTCGATCGTGGACTAGCGATGGTGATTTGCGAAACTTAAGTAAGAGAATGCCTGATTTGTTTTGATTGAGGCAAATGTCAAAACACAGGAGGCTACAGTAACACATAAGGTTACTGTAGCCTCCTGACTAGAAAAGAAAGAGGAGACAATTTTGAGCATAATTCAGTTAGCATCATGACAATAAGTAGTGTGAGAGGTTGGAGCAACTTTATAGCTGCTGAAGTCACTCATTGTTGGATAATTGGCCAGTCTATAATTTCTCTTGATATGGGAAGATTTTGGACGAGAGAGATTGAGGGCAAGGCCAATAGTCCAATGTGTGAGAAGAAGCTATGGCCAGGGTCAAGCGTGGGGTGTGGCACGCCACTCCTGGGGGGTTTATTGAGGAGTCAAAAGGGGAGGGGGTCGTAGTCGGGTAATCTGATAATAATAGTGATAACATGATATTCGTATCATATCCATAACTAGCATGTCAATTAATCCCTGTAGACAAAGTTTGAGCGAATTCTGAAGATTCAAGATACTAGGCTACCCAAGTGAAATGCTCATTTTCCCACATGATCAACTTTGTTTCAAAGTTGGATTAGCTATTCGTTTTTGCAATCAAGACAAAGCACTACTCCTTCTTTGTCCATCTCAGAAATCCCGCTCCAAAAGACCTCCAAACTGTGGAATTAGAAGCCAACCAAAATCTCATTTTTTCCATTTTTCGCTTTTGAGGCTGTGCTTTCACCAAATATTACTCAGAGCTAAGAAGACGAATCAGGCTCAAATCACTCCTGTGAAAACCAGGAGATTTAGGCTTCGATCCATATAAATAAGGTTTGCTAAAAATGTTTTTATGACATAGTTAATGGGGTGTGGCACACCCCCTTAAAAGCTGTGGCAGCCACAGCTTTTAAAATGGGAAAAATGAGATTTTGGTTGGCTTCTAATACCACACTTTGTAGGTCTTTTGGAGCGGGATTTCTGAGATGGACAAAGAAGGAGTAGTGCTTCGTCTTGAGTGCAAAAACGGATAGCTAATCCACCTTTGAAACAAAGTTAATCATGTTGGAAAATGAGCATTTCACTTGGGTAGCCTAGTATCTTGAATCTTCAAAATTCGCTCAAACTTTGTCTACAGGGGTTAATTGACATGCTCATTATGAATATGTTGCCCATTATGTTTGACAGGGCCTTCAGGTAATGCTATCTTAGGTATATAATTCAGGGGGGGGGGTCTTATCAAGACAGCAATCAGAGGGGGGGGGGGGTCGTAACCAGCAATCGTGTGCCACACCCCTTGCTTGACCCTGGCTATGGCAGTTTTAAGGGTTCGGATAAAGGAGTGAAATGGGTGAATCAAAAGTACTTCATAATTGCATTCTAATCATGCATATAAACAAATTGCTTGAAGCATTCCTCAGTTCTGTGCCATTTAGTATGGGAAATCATGACTAATGGTGCCACTCCTTATGAGGGTCTTCCAAATGCTAAGGTGAAGGAGATGATGCTTCAAGGCAAGCACAACAAATTTCCACCGGACACAAATTCACAAGGTCTGTCTTGTTGTGTTGCTAGGACTTCATCATGAATGCATTTCAGTAGTTGAGTTGGTACAAAGCTGCTGGTTGAGGGATCCAGCATACAGGTGCACGATGAGGGAGGTACGGTCGGGTGATATTAAGTTTCAACACTAATGTTCACAACTCTGCAAACCTGGGCTTCTTATGTGAAAATTGATTTGGATGTCTCAACGATACCATTGTTCAAGCGGCAGTTGTTATAGGCTGTACCAGCCAGCATCGGTCATGCGACGTCGCGCCTGCGGCAACTTGCGACGGTGCGGTATAACGCGTGCGAACTCTGCTACGCGTTAAGGCACGTCGCGTGCGACGGTGCGTCGTCGCAAGTCATACTGGCGCGGGACCGATGCCGGCTGATACAGCCTATATGTTATACCTATCTGCAAGAGATCCAACAAAGTGTTCTTGAGTACGGTAATGGAAGAGGATTTAGCATCAAGCTCCTCCCCCACAAAAGACTTATATAATCTCCAGCTTGGTGATGGCCAAGTCACGACCCTCCAGCCATTTTCACATAAGATTTCCAAAGTCCCAAATTTGCCTAAACGCTGACAAAACTTCTGAAAAAATTCTGCGACACAATACATATATCTTTCTTTTTATTCGCAAAAGTCTGCGGTAATGCCATTCAAGCACATACATGCATTTTTCAGGCAGCAAAATTTATGGCAAATTTGACAGGAATCCCTCAACCTCCGATGAGTACCTATGCATCGAAGGAGCTGATATCACGAACGTCCTCATCAAGATCTAAGTCATCTTCATGTCGATCAAGACTAATGAGTAAACGTAACACACAGTGTCGCGCTAATTCTGTTCTAAGTCGTAGAAAATCGAAATAAATTTTTATAAGTGCTTCATCACATTGAAACTGAATGTTGCCAACTATTAACGTAATTTTAGCAAGGTTGATCAATGCCGCTATAGCATTCCCATCTTTTGATATAGTCGTCCTCATTCCAATAGGCACGTGCTGGACGATTTTAACTTCGAAGTGGAGCAGCTCGTTCGCGTTAGAGCACGCCACAATCTAAAGCGAATTATGGGGATCGCGGGTGCTCTACCGCGAAAGTCCCGCTCCAGCTAGAATTCAAAATTGTCCACAGTTGTCTAATGGGATGAAGAAGACTACATTTAGCACGTGACAGTACATTTTTGCGGCAAACTTTACATTGCATTGTAAAATGTAAATGTACAAATAGGAGTTCTCCCCTGAGACGCAGGATCCACTTTTACGATTTTTGGTGCAATACTTATAGATCAACATCTATACTTTTTGGGTCATTGCCAGTCAAAGATTAGCTGCACGAACGAATTCCTGGAACGATAACGTTTATTAGTAAACACTAGCGAGTTGTTATCTATGATATCAAAGTCCACTGTATGTACAACTATCGATGAAGATGCTAATACTATTACATCACATCTGTTGATTCATATTGTACTATTGTTCATATTTGATATCTGCTTTGAGATGTCGTGTTCGATTATAAACTCGTTCGATTGAGGGAAACTCAAGTGGGCCTCGTATTTGACCTTACGATTGGTAAAAATACGCAATCATAAGGACACACCTGAAAATGCAGTTTCGATTGAAAAGTAATGTCTAAGAAGTCCTCTCACCAGAAATTTCATCAGCACCATCAGGTTGGCAAGGATCAATTATAATGGAGATGGGCGGTTCGGGCTTAACAGCGATTATTCACAGTCTGTCATAAAAGGAACACATGTTGACTGACAAACCTCATTTTTCTCTTGCGCCAGACTAACAGTAGCAGAAGAGTGAGCATCTCCAAATGCATTCGAAGCAACGGCTGTGTAGATTCCACAGCATTGCTCTGTCACGGCAGCAATGTTCAGACTCGCATGGCCAACGCTGTTTTCGTGGATATGGAACGTTGAGTCACTGCGAATGGCACGACCGTTGTGAAGCCAACATACAGACGGCTGTGGATCCCCAGATACCCAACAGCTCAAGGATGCAGGTTGGCCGCTCTGAAAAAGGGTATTCGAGCCAATCAAACACTAGTAATAGCAAGAGCCTCTAAGGCAGTGTCCAGGCGATTTTTTATATGGTTGGGGGAAGAGGGATAGAGTAAATATGAGGACTATGATGTAAACTTCAATTGCAGGCATTTTACCGAATTTTGCCATCTTATGTGAGGGTTCAGTAGGTTGACAGTATAATGGGAAATTTTTCAGATTGCGTTTCCCTTGAAACTTGGCCTATAGTTATTCGATGTGCTGATCACAAAAATGAGACCCGATTCGCATAAAAAAGCCTCTTTCGTAAGGTCAAGGAATGAACCCTAATTTTAACAATAAATGAGTGAGATATTCGTAAATGAGAAGTGATTCAAATCAGACAAAACATTACCAAAGTTGCAATTTTTTATGATTAAGGAGGTAATGCTGTTCACCATACAGGATGAACATATTGTGCAAAGTTTTAGCGAATTCTGAGATTTCGCAGCTTAGTTATTGACAGATGGCCCTCCAAATTTCATCTGACTTGTTCAACTTCTCAGAAGCGCCTTATCTCGACTTGTCTTGAAATTTTATTTCTTTTTACTGATTCCAGCGTGTCGACTTCTAGCTATACACGAATGACACGCAAAGACCGGGCGCCGCTGCGTCCGACCAAGATAGTTCCTGCTTGGGAGAGACAGCAGATGGTAAGAGAAACGAAAGAGTGCTTGGTCAGAGAGACGCAGTACGTCCGCAGCCTTTGCGTGCTGTGAATCGCCTGTACATGCTGCCTATAATTGCTTTGCGATATGTTCGATTTAGGTTCCGTACGGCTTCATGTTTGCCAAAAAACTGTGAAATCTCGATTTACAGCACTTTTCAAAAAAGCTTGAATTTTTTCTACTACGTTATCAAAAATCAAACGGTTTGCGCACACTTGCAGCTTGCATCACAGTCTACATGAAGCCAGAAATGAGATTGCTTCATAAAATAGAAAAGGTTAAAGGGAAAAGTTGAAAAACTTATGTGCCAACCTAGTACAAGACACGCTAAGTCCTTATCATGACCTGATATTTATCCGCAAACATAGCACTTAGCGTCTTTAGGAGTCAATCTATGGTTATGTTCTGGTAACAACTTGATGTTTCATGACTTTACCCACTGTGAAACTGTACCGTTCGTCGTAACCACCCTCTGGAGAATATTTTCTGGACGGAAAGAACGCTCATGGTTGTCTTACCCCCTCGAGAAAAGGCCCAGTGTCGTTCCTCATAGTACCTTCAATGGGGATCACCAAGCAAAAAATTTGCATCTCGAAGCAGCTTTGGCTATGCATTGTTGTCTGTGCAAGTCACAGGTTGGAAATCAAGTAAACAGACACAGAAAATAGGTTTGACGCAAAAAAATGCAAACAGGGAGTTAGCAAGTTACAACACTCATTTTTGACTCTTTCGTTTATTTGTTTCATTTTACAAACTGAAGCTTGACCATGCTTTTGAGCCCATTTTCAGAAAAGGCCTATATACCGTGAATTGCATTTAGGATGGACACAGACGCCATTCTTAGGATAAATTGTAAACTACAAGTTATGTCGAGATAATTTTATTTTGACAGTCAAATCAGGCAGACATTTTCCAAAACAAGCAAAATAAGTTGCTGCGCTATAAAGCAATGAGTCTGACTTTTGAGTAATCTCATGCCTATCAAAAAAATTTTCATTTATCAATGGAGAAAAGGAATTGAATCTAAAGCTGTCTTTCGAATCTGCGAGTTTTTCAGAAATTTTTCAGGACTATCATGGTAGTACTGATCCACTCAGTAAAAGAACAGTTACTCTCCTATTAAAAGCTTCTCATGTTGTTGTTCTCATTTATTGCTTTCACCACTGACTGTTCCAACTATTCCTTCATACTTTTGTCTTTTTTATTCGCAGAAATACGAAGAAAGCCTAGTTAGATCAGCTTTATTTATTCGATGTCCTTTATTGTGAGCTCACCTCCTCAACAGTGACATCTTCGAGCTTTCGTATAAATTGTGGCATGTTAGAAACATGGGCAGAAAATTCGTCTTCGACTCTCAGATAGGCACTTGCTTCCACAGTTCCCAACCTATTGGAGACCTTAAATAATACTTAAAAAATCTCTAGTAAAAAAAATTAGTGACGATACCTTGCACACATAAAGTCCAGCATGTTCCATTTGTGCCCGGTATATTTTAAGAAATGCGACTCGTCCATCAAAGTAAGTTCGAAGTGTTCGACTTTGGGCAACAAGTTTTCCATCATGGTACCATTCTACTGTTGGTGTGGGATTACCATCCACTTCCAATTCTAATAGCTCTCGGCACCCTTAAACCCTCATACTAATTACACAGCAGTCCAAAGCAAAAATTGTAAGGGCCACTTACCAATGTTCACTGTAGCTCCAGTTATAGGACGAGTAATGATCGGCGGGTGAGGCTCATTGAGGGCGAACGCAGGCGAAGGGCTGCGACTTGGGCAAGTCGAAGTGGATGGAGCTGTTCGGAACAGCAAAAGGCCTAAAATCATTTTATCATTCTCTGATTTCCTAACAACTCCGCTGAGGGGTGTGATAAAGAATGACAAACTTGTGGGTCCTCTAAGCGAACTCAAGCATTCATCACAAATATGTTTCCAAAAATGCGTTTGTGCGACTAGTTCTCTAAAGCTGGTTGCCTTAGTCCGCAATCAACCACATTCATCGATTTTGTAGAACGCCTCATCTTTTTTAGATTTGTGCTTTTTACAACGAATGAGACTGTGAGATCAGGTGCCAATCCAGAAGACATACATAATGGGAAAACGAATGACCGACATAGCAGTTAACGAAGAGAATTTTAGCAGCTAATAAAGAGAATTTTCTTATTTAGCAAGAGTGTGAAACAGAAAGTTTTTAAAGACAAGAAAACACTGTTGTAAGATAAGTTTACTCTTGCTTTCACACAAACTTTTCAGGACATTCTTCGTGAAAACTGAGCCAGACTCACAAAAAGGTTTTTTTTTACAAAAAGAGAGCAGCAAACAATAATTTTGTTTATCCCCCACCCCTCCTGATGATCTAATGCGTTGCTGCGTCTCATCGTTATAACTTTCAATTGTCACGCACTAACCGGGTTCGTTAGTGCGAGGGCGGATGTCCAGGTGGCGTCGAGAGAGTAAAGAAGAATTTATTAGAAGAATAGAAATAGGAGACAATTACAGCAACTAAAACAACGGCCGGACGGCCTTATTTATAGCCGCCACGGTACCAAGTACATGGTCAAGATCAACATTCATTATCATTGCCTATGGCCTACAGACACCACGATCCATCCTTTACATGCCCCTCCGTCGGTAAGAGTCGCCCCGACTCTTATAACACTCCTTCCATCAGCGTGGGAGACGTCATTCACGTTCACGGCGCGGTCGACGGCTGTTACAAGTGGGGGATAGCGGGTTCCACGTCCACGACTTGGTCGGCTCCTTATGCAGCATGGGGAATGGCGGTTCACGTCCACGGCTCGGTCCACGTCCACAATTATTCGGCTCGGCAACGGGTCTTCTGTCCTTGCTCTCGGGTTATCGCAGTCCTTCGTCTCTACTTTGGAGTGGTCAGATTTGCGATTGGTGAAAACCTTTTGGTGGTAGTACGGCACCTCCGTTTGGGTACTCGCATCACACACCTTTTTGAGAGGCTGTCTACGCATCTGTCTGCGCTCGCGATTGCAAATGCATTCTGCAGGGCGACGACGACAGCCCTGTGCATGGCTAGTGGAGCTTCCATCTGATCGAAGGTGACATGATTCTGGTGGTGCGCTTCAATCTTTTTTCAGCTCTGCCTTCGGTACACCAATAGGGGATCCTGCACTTTCCTTGCATTTGCCTTCAACTTGGGACACACGTCTGCTAGTCCAGCGCCAGACGTCTCGCCTCATCGTCTCCCAAACGAAACTCTTTGACAGCTTTCTAAACAAGCTCCTTGCGCCTAAAAGCCTCGCATTCGCTTGCGCTTTCTTTACGAGCTTCTTCCTTTGAGACGGCGACACAACCTCTCTGAACCCTCTCTTGCCTGCGTACAGCAGACGGCCTTGGTCCAACACAAAGTCGGATACATTGTACATGTGTGACGCCTTCTTGAACTCAATTCACCCGCCTAGCTTGTCCTTTTTAAGACATTCTATCGAACACGGTAGATGGGGTTTTTGCGAAGTTCGTCCATCCAGTTCGCAGCATCAGCCTCAGTTGGCGCCTCCTCTTTTCCCTTGTTAGCTGCCCGATCGAGCCTGTCTAGCCCTCGATTTACGGCGGGCATTGCACGCATGCTGTCCGAATGTGCAGAAGATTGTTGCTCACCGTGCACACATTTTTAAGCGTACCTTCCTCCTCTGCTCTCCTGAGCTTGGCTCCTGCCAAGCTGTCCTCAATTCGAACGCTGGGAGAACTGCCGTTGCCTTCCGTATTGACAACGCCACAGGGCTGAGCCATTTTCTCTGACGCCCCTTTTCCACGAACAGACAACATCTCAGTTCTTGGTTGAACATGCACTCCCTTTGAAATCACAACACCTTTGGACTGTCGCCTTCGTCTTCTCGGAGCATCATGCTGGACGAATCTCTGGACAACTGTCTTGTTCGTGTTGACGAGAGTGTTTCCAATGTTTGTACCAGACAATCCAAGTCTCGGTAGCGCGTTCATTCCAAGCACAATCCTGCCACCTCCTGCTCTAACAAAGAAGGAAATCCTGTGCTTAGCGCCGTTCTCTAGTTGCAAGGAAAGCCTTACCGCTCCCTTGAACTTCATCCGCTTGTTTGTAACATCATGAACAGGATCCAGCTGGTCTATCGGGACCTCTTCTACATCAGCATCCAGGTCAAATCCTTGGCCTCTGCTCGCTATGAGCATCTTCAAAGCTATGATACTGACCTGTGATCCCGTGTTCAGTACAGCTTCTCGAACTAGGCCCAGCAGATGCACTTTTGCGATTATCTGCTCGCCAACGAGCTCGTTTCTCCTCGTCGACGAATCTACCGAGTTGCAGATACACTTGTTCAAGGATGTCGTAAAGTTCCCTTGCGGCTCCTTTGCGTACCCTTGCTGATCTAGAGGCTTTTGGCTTGCTATAGTCACGGCTGTAATGTCCCAGTACATTACAGTTGTAGCAGCGCATTTGCCTCTTCCGAGATGCTGCGGAAGCATCTGGGGGATCAGCCGACTCTACGCCTCCGCCTGAAGTTGAGTTCTCACTGGCATATATCTCAGCGTTCGATTGCGGAATGGCTACTTCTCCGCATTTTTGCATCATGGCCAACTCCTTGCTGCGCTCACATTGCAGTGCCATTGCTTTCACAATTTTATAGGCCAGCTCCTTAGGTGCGCTCCAGTGCTGAGAAAAACTGCAGGTACTCAGGCCAGTCCCTCAACTGCAAAACCAATTCTGCAGCTCTTAAACATGATAGCTGCTTGTCTGTGGTGTCTGGGTACGCTAACCGCGTAAGCCACTCTAACTCAAGACAGAAGGCTGTAATGTCCTTTGTCATCCGCAGATGTTTGAGTTGTACATACGCAATCATCTGATTAGCAGACTCATTTATGCTAAATTTGTTTCGCAGTGCTTCTGCAATTTCTTCGATGGTACTCTCTCGTAAACTCCTTGACAGTGTTTCGGCCACTGCCTTAGGATATCCGTCTTACTTAGACAGGAAAAGGTGTATCAGCATGTCGTTATGCAGTCCAAGTCTGCCATACTTCATTATGAATCTGCAAACAAAATCATCGAAGTTCCTTCCTTGAGGATCTCCGCAGAGCTCAACCTCTGGAAGGGCCATTGCTGCAAAGATCTCCGCAATACTTGCCTGTGCAACCTCACCCTTATCATACCGAATGGTCGACGGGCTTGTATGCGGGACTCTCTTCTGATACTCTGGCATCTTCTGCATGGTGTCCATCGGCTTCTTCGATGAAAGTAATTCAAGCTCGATATCTGTACGAGATAGAGCCTTAAATCCAATGTTTTGTGCTTCACCTGCAGCACAAATTCAATTTCGATGATGTATCAGCTCACGGTATACACGCGTATGCCCTGCCTCCTCTAGGCTGGGTCTTGCGGTGTAGCTGATAAAAGCCACAAAGTATATCCCTTGACCGAGAGGGACCTGTCACTATACGGTACACGCGCCGCTGCTCCCTTGTAGGGGTAGATCACGGCGGCGTAACTGACACCCTCCTCCGGTCCTCTGAGAAGGCTCGATGTGTCACACAACGAGCTCCTCTTCAAACCAGGGATATACACTGCCATTAGGCAGGTTACACGCCCTCACTGAGGCGGTTAGTGGCTGTTTGGTTCGGCCCCAATGTCACGCACTAACCGGGTTCGTTAGTGCGAGGGCGGATGTCCAGGTGGGGATCGAGAGAGTAAAGAAGAATTTATTAGAAGAATAGAAATAGGAGACAATTACAGCAACTAAAACAACGGCCGGGCGGCTTTATTTTCAGCCGCCATGGTACAAAGTACGTGGCCAAGATCAACATTCAATATCATTGCCTATGGCCTACAGACACCACGGTCCATCCTTTACATCAATAATCTTCTTAGCGAATTGTCATCATATTGAAGCCAACATCGGCGATATTGGTGATTCTGACGTAACTTAACTTTCGAATTAATGCCCTTTATTATAAGTTTACTGACAAATTTCCAGTCACAGCAACGTATGTTTGCTCAATTTACATGCAATCTTTGAGTTTCTATCAGAGTCACTTCACCGTACTCAACGAAAAGTCTTAAAAAGCTCACCATTCACTTGGACGTTACAATGCGTGAAGTCCTTGCCCAAGACATTTGTGGCTTCACAAGTGTACTCGCCAGAATCACGAACTTTTGCTTTCATGATATTAAGTCGTGTGTTTCCTTTGCGATCGGTATATTGTAGCATCCGGCTTTCAAGCATAAGCTTCAGACCGTCTTTGTACCTAAAAAACCTCAATAAGAGCAAAATTAATGGGCCAGCAATTTCTGTTCATTACCATGTAATTGTTGGCGTCGGTTTCCCTGAAACAGAGCATTCCAGAGTGATTTCTTCGTTTTCAAAGATCGATCGATTTGCTAGGGTCTCGAAAAACTTGGGAGCTGAGTATTTCCTCACAGGTGACGCTGCAAATTTATCTTTGGAAACGAATACCCATCACTTCTACGTACGTGTGACTTCAACAATGCTTGAGGATCTTCCCATGCCATGGATGTTCTCTGCCTGGCAAGTGTAACACCCAGCCATTGCAATCGAGACATTAGGAATTGTTAATGTGCATAAACCATTTTCGTATCTTATGTCAACGCCGAAGAGTCTGAAAACATATAAAGAAAATGATTGCTTTCCAGTAAGTAGATTCTAGAACCCCTAAATCTTTGGCCCGTATGCACGTACATCCTCGCGGAGGGGATGTGCGCTTAACCATTGAAATGATCTCCGCTGGAGATCCCCTCCCCTCCCCGCGCGAACCCCCGTATGCACAAAGACAATATCGGACAAGGGATCCCCTGTGGGAAGGGGAAGTGAACCTCTTATGCACAAGAGGGGATCAAGCGGGGAAATCACCTTGCTTTCAAATTTTCTATGAAAAACTCTTTCTTATTTCATATTTTGACTGCAACTCATCTTCATCTCCTCACTTTCATTAATTTAGGGTTGCGGAATGCGCGTATGCAGTGACTGCGCTCGGGGCACTAAAAATGATTTTTTCTACTCCCATTATGTTCCTGCTTTCTTGGATGCTGCCCACTTTCGCTCATGCTGCTCCATTTCAGCGTAAAAATGTTGAACTGTAGAAGTTGACGTGTCTCTGCAAGGGAGTGGGTAGAAGACGTTAGGCTGCCGAAAAGGGGGGGGGGTGCCGCGCGGACGCTCAAAGCAGTATTCTAACACATAACAGAAGCTGCAGATTGTGCCAGCTCTCCATAAACGCTGTAGCTATCAGCTGCATATCGTCCTTTATCCCAGGGGAATGATCCCCAGCAGCCATCTCTGCTATGCACAAGGGGAACGCTGGGGAGGGGATCACTCCCCAGGGGATTTCTACTCAGAAATAGGCAAATATGCTACTTTCTAGATTTTTTCGAGGCAGCTTATGTTAAAATAACAAGATAATGGCAACATGTCATGAAATATGAAAGTTACAATGTGTTTACTCAGCCTATATAGTTAAAACTATTATGTTATATGAAAAATGCGCAAATTTCCTGAATGATCAAGAACTCCTACAAATAATCGAAATTGGCAGCTATTGTTGCTCGGATTTCTTCTCAAGAGGCGAATATAGAAAAGAAAGACAAATTGCAAGCCACAGGTCGCTGAGAGAAGAACCCGGCTTTCAAAGAAAATCCTCCATCAAAATGAACGAAATGCTTGGTAATGACTGGGCAGAACCAGAATATCCGCGTCTCTGGCATGATCTACACCATCGAACCCCTACTTCGTTGCAGGGGATGTCGATCCCCTCCCCCGCGTTACTGAGTTGAATTCGCGCATACGGGGTTCGAGTGGGGGAAGGGAAGGGATCCCCTCCCCCATTCGAACCCCGTATGCACTGGGGTTCGCTCGATCAATACCTCTGAAACCATTCACACCATCCCCGCTTAGGTGCAGGGGAGGGGATCGCTCCCCTCCCCTCTGTCATGGCGGGCTTCGGCGGAGGGGATCGTTCCCCTGGGGATCCAGCTCCCCTCCCCTCCCCAGCGGGGAAGTACGTGCATACGGGCCTTTATCTTCTACCAGAAAGCCACCAGTCAGTGTTCCCTAGATTGTTTTTTAGCCGTCCTCAATGAAAAGACTAATGTATTAGGTTGTGTAATAAGTTCGTTCGCATTTTTTGTTTCAATTTTTTCTTAGTATTTTACAAGACATTTGGCATAGTGTTAGTATGCATTCGGAAGCTCTAAGTCTACCCTACCAAAATACTATCATTATATTCCCAGTTTGTAAAAAGTTGAATAAAAAAGTCGACTACAATCCGAAAAATCTAAATTGGCAAAAATCCCATTTTCGACAACTATGTTATGCCGCACCTTGAATGGGTTTGAGCGCTTAAGAAACAGCCCAAAAATTTTGCGACATGTATAAATAGAACACTACAGCTCCCTCAGATTACCTGTAGTGCTAAAACCTTTCAAAAACAATTCATATTGTAAGCTCAAAAATAGGTATGTTTTTATGTCTTTTTGGTGTCAACGTTAAGCATCTGAAGGCACCTCTGAAGAAAGGTGGTAGCCGAATAATCCAGAAATTGGCAGACATGTGGTCTATGATCGCTAAATTATCGAATGAATGGCTTATATAGTCAAAAATTCAGAATTCGAGGGACACATAGCCCACGGACGCGAGACAACGAACACCGCTGCGGCAAAGCCTTGGTAGGCCGAGTTTTGCAAAAATTGCATTAAACGGTCGGTGAAAGGAAATGGGCAATCGTAAATAGTATCAGTAAATGCATAAATTGTTAGTCAGTTGTTTTTCTTCGTATTCAAGCTTTTTGAATAAATTTCAACAAAGAATAACGGGAAAACTAAGGAAGAAAAAAGATGTCGAAAATGGGATTTTTGCCACTTCAGATTTTTCGGTTTGTAGTGGAATGTTTTATCCAAATTTTCAAAAACTGAGAATATAATAATGGTATTTTGGTAGAGCAAACTTAGAGCTTCCGAACGCATACTAACACTATGCCAAATGCTTTGTAAAATATTGAGAAAAAATCGAAACAAAAAATGCGAACGCACTTATTACACAACCTAATACATTTCACGCAATTTTTTCGCTTGGCGCAAAGCAGGGATATAACATTGGGAGAATATAGTAAATTGTGGTCAAAAAGCGGAAAATTTATACAGGAGTTGCAAATTTGTGCAAATGACGTGTGATTGACAAGAGCTATTTCCAAAAATTTTTAAAACTCTAAATTAACCTTGTGTAAATTTTCGGGGGCGTGGCTGTATATAAAAGAAAAAAAGATTCTATTACACTTTAGGTAGAATGCACTCTTTGGTTTTACGTGGTGGTCTTTGTTATCTCGGTCTTGTACATGAATTAAACAAAGCTGGAATATTCAAAACTGCTGTGGCTCTGCTACGATTTGGAGGAATTTGTGATGTGACAACAATGATGGCACGCTTACTTTTCGTCATCCTTGTACCAAGTGATAACTGGTTCGGGTATACCGGTCACTACGCAAGTTAAGACCAATTCAGCACCTTCGGGTATCTTAAAAATCAGTGATGAATGTGAAAAAGACAAATAAGAGTGAACAAGCTACCACTTACCTGTCGCGGGTTTGCTAATGGCATTTGGAACCTTGGCGCTTTCAACCTATCGGCCTTCTTTTGTTGTCCGAATTTACGATTCGTAATGTTGGCAGAGCATACAGATTCTGCATCTCCTATCATGTTCTTGGCAACACATCTGTGAGTACCGAGTAAGTAAGTAATATCATAAAATGCAGTAAAACTTCTTTCTATGCATCACATCAAGTGCTCTACAACTAGTCAAGGAAAAATCCACGTATCAAATTTTTTGCAAAGGCAGCATTTCGACAAATCTAAATGCTGACTTTTCTGGATAACTAGGGAGACTTCCGAGTCACTGGCGTCTGATCCACTCGTGAGATTTTATTTCAAACTCTTACCCAGATCGTACCCTGCCCAAGCAAAATTAGCGCCTCTGAGTGAAACGCTTTCTAGACACCATCGTGATTTTCCTAGGAATAGTCAAACTTTCCAGAAAAGAGGAAGATGAGCAAGGTAGACAAATAACAGGGATAAAAAAAAATTTGGTATACCGAGAATAGATGATTAAGCGCAGTTAATACGAAAAACTGTGAGAGATCTGAAAATTTCAAATTGTCAAAATTGAATATGCTTTGTTTTCAGTTGCTTGAGCGTTTTTTTTTTGCTTTCCTAGGCTGCTTCTACGACTCAAACAAAGTTGATTTGAATTCCACCATGAGAAGCCTTCAAAAACTCATTAGTCTACTTGCATCGATTTTCATATACTGTTCAGGAACTTCGAAGTTGCTATAACCTCCCAAGCACAATCAGAAATAGAGAAAACAAGACTATAATTTATCAAAACTTTACCTGTATTCTCCAGCATCTCTCAAACTAGCGTCTACAATTGTTAATGAGTACTCTCCCCCTTCTACGTCAAATTGGATTCGTCGGTGTTTCGAATGGAAGATTTCAATGTCGTCGAGATACCTGCAGATAAAAAATTTCCATTATCATCCTTTTGGATAAGAATCCAAACCATGTAATCAAAGGAGCTGGATCAGCGCTGATTCTGACAGTCAGTGTAACCATTTCTCCCTCCTTACAGCGGAAATCACTCAGAGGACGATCAAAGGAAGGCGGGAAATAGCCATCAGGAATCTCTACCGTCAGATGACAGGTACTCTCGCATTGTCCATAAATATTCTTACCAATCACTCTCCATTCACCTGCAATAAAAAAGGAAATCTCATTTCTGTCAAATCAAGAAATTATGACGAACCCTCATCGTGTCTGTCCGCTTTGAGTATGGTCAACTCGTAACGTCCCTTGTCGTGTTTTTGTAGGTAGTTGTAGTTATTCCTGTTGATCAGCTCCCCGTTATGATACCACTCCACCTCCGGTTCGGGAAGAGTGGTGTTTGTAACGCAGAGGATCTTCTGCTCACAGAGTTTTGCTGAGCAGTCATTCAGTGGGTGATGGAAAAGTGGAGGATCTGATCCGGTAGGTGTATCTTCAGGTGCAGTAATCTGAAATAACATAAGGGCTTCAAATAAAACGCACGATAGAAACTATGAGAGAAATCTATGGTAATGATTATCGCATTTAAACCTAGAGGATGAATAGAATTTAGTGACAAAAAATTGAGAAAAGCAATTTTCCATCATTTCTGAAGAAAACTCCACAAGGTTCCAAAAATCATAACGAAATGACTGAAAGCTAATGAATCTCATGTATGCAGTTTCGCGCCACTTCAGGTAGCGTATTTAGGACTAGCTTCATTTACATTCACAGTACAAAACGAGTCAAGCCTAGCTCTCCATTACTGTAAGATCACGGTGAAAGCATTTGAGGGGATTCCAGCCCATGGAACCACAGAACTGAAAATTCCTGAAAACGCTTGAACTTTGTTACCAGCACAAACAGCAGTTTCTCAGCCCACATACGCGCTTTTCGATTCACTCTGATACCTGATCCAAAGGTTAGGACAAGTATGCCATTACAGCGATTCCCAAAAGTTGAGTTATGTAACGCGGAGGACCGAGGAAAGGGGAAGCCCCGCCTCCGAGAGGTCGCGAATTTTAAGTTACTTACACGGGTTATATGAATGGCAAGTGAGTTGTTTATGCTTGTAAATAATTGAAATAAATTTTCAAGTTTTTAACAAATTCATATTAGACTTGTAAAAATTTTTTTTCGGCGGGTCATGTAACCGGAAAAAGTCTGGGAAGCATCTCAAAAATTTTTTTGGAATGCGCTAACGCCACGCAACTTTATCAGAAATTTTTTTGGTCCCCCCTCCCTCCGAATGGAGATCCTGGGACCCCCACAATTATGTAAAACAATCTAAACTGCTCTGCGAACACGTACAAAGTTCACTAGAAACAGCAAGTCTAAAAATTCCTTTCGGACATTTTCTGGAACAGCAGCTGTAAGCAATGATGATTTTCTGCTAAAAATTCCCTATCGTGATCTTACCGATGAATAGCGATGGGTGAATGGTACTTTAGCGTAAGTCTAACTGTAAGTTGAAACCAGTCCTACAATATACTACCAAAAGATGAAAAGCTGATCATATAGGCAGCGATCCACATTTGTTAGAATCTTTGCGGACACCCTTGTACTATGAGCTTGGTTTCATTGATGATAGGGATAACATTTCGAAGGCAATGAGAAAAATCTACTTATTGGATATGACTGAATTCTATGTAATTATTTTGAACTATAAATAGCATTGATTGCTTACGTTTACTTTTTTCTTGGCGAAAAAAGCCACTCTAATCTGCACATAAAATCTCAAGAAGAAAAAGTAAAATCATGTCAGACACCAACCTTTATGGTTCGTTCTCTTTCCAAGTCTTGAAGCAACAACTCTGTTTCTCGCGAAGCTATCCTTAACAAGGCTCGAGTACTTGTAGATCCCAAGTCGTTGGTAGCAAGACAGCTGTACTGTCCCGCATCCGACTCTTCGACGTTCTTCACAGTCAGTTCGGCCAGGCCATCATTATAGCGCGAATCGTACTTGAAAGAAGGAGTGACGAGTTCTTTGCTGTCTTTGAACCAAGTGATGTGTGGCTCGGGGACTCCTCCGATATCGCAAGACAACGTAGCGATCAGATCGCCTATGTTTGCGACGATGTCTTCCAGTTGCTTCTTTACCGAGGGTGCACATTCTGCCTCTGAATATTATTTTAAGTCCTTTGAAAATACATTAAACGATATGACAACACAAATATGACATAAACCGATCAAATTTACATGTTGACATGTTATGCTAGAGAAAAAACAAAAATCTGTCTTCGCTCCAAATTTCACGTCGAGTACCGGCATCAAATCTAATAAAAAAAATCAAATGGCCAAAAAAATTGCAAATCAGGCATTACTATAAAAGTGAAAAATACCTATGGACGGAGAACTGTAAACGGATAAAGAACTGTGCCTGATGTAATTTTGGTAACTTATGTTAGGCCCTGGGCATATCACGAATTTAATAGCGACTTAATTCGACAGAACTTCAGCTGTTTATAATCACCGTATTGATCTTCAAGAGTTATATATACCATGCATTTATAGCCTGCGAGTGTTAAAAAAGAAGACATCTGGCAAATTGCCAGATCGCAGGTGACTGATATCGCGTGAGAACCTGAGGCCTAAAGGGCCGGGCATACTTCAAGCGATTTCAGTCGCGACGCGACTTGGCAATCCAACTGTTCATAACCCATCGTGAGGGGTTTCTGAATGTATGGAAGATAGGACTTTTTATAAACCTACGAAAGTTATACATGCTGTGCATTTGGGGTCTATCAGTGTTGAAAAACATCTGGCAATTTGCCACATCGCTTGCCGACAGAAATTGCGTGAGGTATGCCCGCGGCCTAAGGGAACTTGTGATAGGTAAAATACGATTTGACCTTACATTTTTGACTTTCCTGTGCAGCAGTCAATTTACAAGAGAGGAAGGATTTGCTTACCGAAAGTGATGTTTCTTTCGAAAACGCCATCCATGGTGAGCCGCCTAAAGATGGCTCCACGCTTGGCAAGGCGACCGATTGGTAGCAAGTCATCAGACCACCGTTTCAACGCCATAAAATTCTTCTTTTGCCGTGGAGGTAGTGGACCACGATCAGACGGTGATTGTTGCATCTTCTAAAGAAAAATCAGTGATACAATTCATCAGAGTAAGATTAATTTTCAACTGTGCATACCTTGATATACTCCGACAGATCATTAAATGCATTGAGGAGTGGACCCTATAAAAGCAATTTTTTGCAGTGTTATATATTGTGGTGTGCAGTTATATACTGCACAATTCTCAAAACATACAGTCATCCAAGGATGATGGAGTGCCTCTTCTACTGTCATACGTCGCCGTTTATCTTTCACCATAAGTCGACAAATGAAGTCCTAAAATAAGCTCTGATATGGTACTTAAACAAGCACATTCATAAGAGATCGACAAGGTTAAGTGATAAGCGTTAAGGTTCAGTTACAAACTACGCATTTTCTATTAAACCGCAAGAAGAAATGGCATGCTGCACAACTCCTTTGAATGGTGCATGGTTTTCGTGATCTCACTAATTCGGTATCTTTCCGATTTTACCTCACAATTAGCTCTCCATCCTCAACTGTTATTGTGCAATAAAGTCCGTACACTTTTCTACTGTTCATTTGAGTTCAATTGATAAAGTTGGAACTTTACCAAAAACTTCAGCTGATATACTGCAATTTCTAACTTTGCAGTTTGAAAGGAACACGTCTTAAAATCAAAATTTCAAACTCTCCAATCATCCATCTTACCAAAATTTTGTATTATGAGTTTTAAGTTTTCCTCAATTGCCTATAGAAGATGCAAATTTGGTCTTATAAGCACATAAACTTGCGCGTACGGTAAGGCGGGCTAGATGCAAGACCCTCCTGCCTACCAAATTTTCCAACACTTTTCAACAACTTCTCCAGAACAATTTAGGATAGGATTTGGAGAGCTGATGGTTCCCAGGGCTAGTTAAAAGCTATAAAAAATCTTTCCACTTTTACTAGTGAACCAGTAACTAAAAATGCTATATGAAAGAGCGTTCGCTTCGCCCGCGGCGCTCCCGCTATTGGAAGATTTTTGAATTGAGCTAACGATTTTTTATGTTAGATAGATTAGATTAAATATCGCTTATGGAACGCACAGGCCTGAAAGGAGAGGACTGTCTCCTTCCAAACCATCTTGGGTCCAACACTAGCATTGTTACTATACGGGTCTTTTACTGTTTTCATTTGATTTCCTTTTGATATTCCTCACGTTTTTTCTTTTCTACTCTATTGTGCTTGTTGCTCCTGACACAGGACCTCGTCACGCAATAGATAAAAAATGAAATGACTCCAAGATGACCTAGAGAAGCGCCGTTGAGTTAGACGCTTCTTTAGCTAATCATATTTGTTTCTCGAAGGGTGTCCCTATTCCTACAAATATCTCTTCAGTTCATAATGGTTTGTTTTTTCTCGTAAAGGCAGACGTACCCACATAAAAAGTGCATTACGACTCGAGAAATTACCATAATTCGAGCAAAAAGCTTGAGAATCCAAGATGCAGAGTGCAATAGTATTATTTGTCTACTGCTTGTTTTCGAAAAATTAGGGGTAGAAGTGTCATCACATGCCCTTTGAGCTAGGCAAAAGAAGTCTTTACAACTTTTTTATATAATTTGGAAATATTCGCAAATAGTTCATAGACATTCCAACGAATTAATGTGTTTTCCCCAATGAAAACTACCTTTGCTTCATCGGAGACATCATCCCATGATGGATCATCGAAGTCCCAATCACCTACGGAAACGTTCGTCAAGGTATCTTCATCTGTATCCCCAAGGAATGGCGATAACCCCGACAGCCTGAAAATCTCGCAAATAAATACTCATTTGCTTTAAAATGAATTGTATTCTTACAAGACATAGCCGATGACTCCTACAGTCCACATATCTGTGCTGAGACCAACAGGTTGATAGTTGACCACCTCTGGAGCGCAGAATTCTGGCGTCCCAAAGAGCAGCTTAACTGACTTTGTGGGATCAAGCTTTCTTGCAAGTCCAAAGTCAATGATTTTCAAGTCAGTTGATTTTTTAGACTTCAACAGAATGTTTTCCGGCTAAATAGAATTTTTACAACGGTTCGCTGTGCTAAGGATACACTCACTTTCAAATCCAAGTGAACAATCTGATTCTTGTGCATATGCTGAAGTCCTAGCAGAATTTGATGCATGTAGTCTCGTACTTCCTCCTCGCTCATTAGCGAATCATTTTCCAGAATTTTGTCGAAGAGCTCTCCTCCGGACACACTGAAAATTCAAACTAGGCACAACTTCATGCGACTTTTCCATACTATTCAGGCAGCTATACGTTTTTAGAATACGGATCTAGACCATCAGGTTCCTATAAACTACATTTCATTTCCAGTGTTACTTTTGACACTACGTTTTTTTCTTTTCTGCAGGTCCGTTACTCCTAACTTGATACTGTGGCGCACCTTTGTACAAATAAAAATTTGAACATGAGTATGAAAATGACTTACAACTCTTCTATGAGACACATTTCATTGCCCAGATCGAAGGCTTCATGCAAGTGCAACAACTTGTCATGATTCAATTGACTCATCATCGAAATTTCGTGGAGGACGTCATCTCTTTTCACGCCGGGACGAACCTACAACATCGCAAATCAAGTGTGAGAAAAAGTTCAACATGGGGCGAGAACAACTGATTTTCTATTTGTTTGTTACCTGTATCATTTTAGCCGCCCACGTTTTGCCGGTAGCTTTCTCCACGGCTCGGTAAACAGTGCCGTAAGCGCCTTGTCCGAGTTCTTCACAAATAATATACTGAAATTAGCACTAACATATGATTAGATGAAGAGCAATCAAAAAGCTGTTAAATGCTACTTTAATTTTCTTGTGTCGCGACACTCCATAGAAGACTTTAGCAAAAAAAAACAACTCTACGACATGCAATTCTACGAGACATATTTTATCGCCGACGAAAGCCTTATGCAAATACACTAACTCATCATAATTTGACTGATTCACCATCAGAATCTCGGGCGGGACAAAAATACATGAAGCCAGTAAAATTGATAGACTACTATGGGTACACTTAGAAAAATTCTGTATTAAGTTACACATGCGTATTAATTTCCATCCTTCATCCGCGCAAACTACTTTTTTATGTTTCGACAAAAGCAGAGGTAAAAGTTGTTGAAGGTGGCATACTGACAGCGATTCCAAAGTATTACGTTACCCCAAAGTTTTGAAACAAATTTCTTGAAAATTCGAAAATTTCGCCGTCTGCAAACAATTCATATGAATCAAAATATTTGTCGAGGATAATCGCTTCCAACGGTGCTCAAAATGGAATTGGTTCTGACATATCGCGGCAATCCGAGTCGGTAAAAGAAATCTAGCTTTTTTCGTTTTCAAATGCCAAAAGGTCTACTAAGTTTTGATTTTATTTTCGGTTCTGTAACCTCCTTTTTGATAAAATTTTTGCTGTTCGGATGATTCTACCAAAACTTACCATTCTTGCTTTTTTCAAATAGATTCCTTGATGGATAAGGTCTTTTGTATTTATATTGAAATATAACAGTTTATATTCCACAGGGCAAATGACATCAGTCAAATTTTCTGAGATATATGCAACAAAAAAAATTTGGTGCAGGGCTTGGACAACAACACCAATAAATGAAAGCTTTTACATGTTTCGTAAACCTTGGATAGTCGCCGCCCCACTTTAGCCAACCTAATATTATGTTTCTACTGTCCTAGTTTTTTTAGCAAGTATATTCTCTTGTTATTACACTTACTAACCTTAGCTTGTAGGTCATTTGGCAGATGATTAATGTCGATCACAACGTTCTTGTCATCATGAGCAACTTTTGCATCCAGTCTGTCGTAGTCGATCTCTTCCGGTTCCTCCTCTTCGAATGGCCTCTTCACGGGTTCTTCGACTTCTCTTGACACATCCTGAACCGTAAATTGTATTGCACCAATCTCAATTTCAATGGGATATCTTTTTCAAAGTCAGTGTTATAAAGCATTTTATCCAACAACTACAACGATGGAAAGCATCCCTCGGGGGTGATTGTCATATGAAGGAAGGGTGCTGCCAGCTTTACTGGTACGTAAATCATGTTCCGGGCAACATGATGGAGTAGGCATAAAAAGTGAGCAATTATACGCATGTGTTCAATGTGTCTCAAGAGTTCCGTGACTAACAAAAGCACATCTTATCAACATTTTTTTTCATAACAGTCGTAGCTCAAATCCGACTTGGAGTTTTGATTGCAACCAAGTGATCGTTTTTCGAAGCACTTAGTATGTGGACTCTACTCGGAAATGAATGGTGACTTTTGCGTTTTCACAAAAAGATGCAAGCTAGTTACGTTCTTACATAAGCAAGTTGTTATCGGCATTTTTTCCCACCTTTCCTCCATAAATCCGATAGTTTCATGAACAAAACATCAATAGCACGCCGACTTTATGATAAACTAGCTGGCTTGCCCGGCTCCGCCGGGCCTGCCAGCTAGACCCGTGTACGTATGTTCCGAATAGAAATTTTTATCTCTGAACCGATTGGGACCGAACTTTGCACACATATACTTCAGGGCAGGGAGCGTGTCACAGCCCACTTTTCGTTATCGATCGATGTCGATTTTACCGATTTTTTGCAAAATTTGAGCTGATCACCCCGAAGGGGTGATCAGCATGCTCGATTACCCCCCTGTGCAAAATCCTAGCCCCCTAGCTCAAATTTTGCAAAAAATCGGTAAAATCGACATCGATCGATAACGAAAAGTGGGCTGTGACACGCTCCCTGCCCCGAGTGGGCTGTGACACGCTCCCTGCCCCGAAGTGTATGTGTGCAAAGTTCGGTCCCAATCGGTTCAGAAATAAAAATTTGTATTCGGAACATACGTACATACATACAGACAGACAGACATACAGACAGACATACAGACAGACAGACAAACAGACATTCAGCTTTATATATAAGATTCAGCTTGCGATAAAGTGTTAAAATGACTGGTGAAGTTGGCGAAGATAAAAATCTGTCCAGATTAAGGACTCAGTCACATTAATTACCGTTTAGGCGCTTTTCATAAATATTAAAGCATTGAATAGGTACAAGATCTTAATCACGAAAATGAGAACGATTTGTTATAAGGGAGGGGGGGGGGTAGTAAACGAATCAGATTAAATGGTGCATTGGAGCATAATGGAGGTGGGAAGAGAAAGAGAAGCAATTGCTTCTACATATTCTACACTTCGCATTACCCAATTCTCGCTCACCTTGACGAAAACAGCTTCCGATTCCTCCGAAGGTTCAGACTGTCCAAATGCATTGTCGGCTCTCACTCGGAACACGTAGGTCTCCTCAGGCTTTAGATTGAACAGCGTAATGAATGGCTGCTTGGTAACTTCTTTCATTACCCAAGTACCTTCAGAGGCCTGGAAATTCGACTTTGAAAATTTCTTATTTTCATTTCCTGCAAACAACGTCACTTACGGTACACATTTCCACCGTATAGTATCGTACGGGTGAACCGCCATCTTGTGTCGGTGCTGACCAAAGCAGACGCACTGAATCGACATTCTGATCCTGCACCGAAGGCTTCCCGGGAGGACCTGGCCTTTCGGTAGTCTGCAAATGCATGGAAGATGTTATAGTTCCAGATCAATTACGGTAAAATTAGATACTTTTCCCTTTTGTAGCACTTCTACAGGACTATCTCTAAAATTCAGTAGTCGCTCTTGACCCCTACAATGGCAATGAAACATGCCCACTGGGATTTCTGGGATTCGCTGATTTACGGCAGTGACTGCGGGACTTTCGCGAAAACACCACCGAGAAAATAAACAGGTCCCACCATAACCGTAATTCGAAGGATTGCAGCAATGCAGCATACCACAAATTCATCTCATCATAATAAGTTCAAATCTTCTTGCAAATTTCAGATATGCATGCTCTAAAAGAGATTATGCACAAATGCCCGAAAATGGACGGATTGCATTGTCATAACTATTTCCGCACCGGTCGTGTATAAGAAAACATTTGCGAAGAACACCTCGCAACATTTTGCATCTGGTAAACTCCGTATTCAGCAAAATTATCTCTGAAAGTATCTTTTCTATGCTGAAAATTCCTAAGCACTCCTCGTTTTCAAGATAGTGTTATTTTTTTTCGCGCTGTTGGAGATGTTGTGAATAGACTAGGCTGGGAAGACGGTCGCTTCAGTGATGGTTTAGGTAATACGATTGCCACTTCCTGGAGGGAACAAGCTTCGATGCGAGAGCCCCCTGGGAGTAAATGCGAAGCCGTTCACCTACACGGGGTGTCCCATTCTCCAACTTCTTACTTCTGAGACAGGCGTTATCTCTGCTTTACACAGAAACCTTTTGTTCCTAATGTTATTACGCATCAATTCGAATATTTATGCGAGGCCCACATTTCTCGTGTTTTACAGTGAATGTCACAGCTCCTTGGGTTATTGCTACGTACTTACTGCAAAAATTCCAATTTGCGTAGAAAAAAATTCTCCAAGAGACAGCATTCGCGTCATTGTAAGCCAACTGAAACGCCATCAATGAGTGAATGAGCTAAGCATTTGCATTGCACATGTTGGAATGATTATTAGAAAGACATGGAATCAATCTCAGAGTCAAAGCTTTACACCTGCAATGTCTTTGACTGAAAAAGTTTTATGCCTAGAAAAATGTGCTACTGCCTCTAAATCTTCGTTTTTCCACTTTCAAAGCTTTATGCATTTCTCAAAAACCCGAATAAACTAGGCGTGGCTTAAGCATCTTTGTCTTTGTTACTTTAGCTCGATTAGCACTATTTTCCTAAAAATATTGAATTTTATGTAGAGCTTAAGCAAAAGTTCGACAACCAAATCTTTTTAATTGCTGAAAGTTTCATACCCCGAAATGCTTGTATACTAGCATGTGACATAAGCCTATACTTAACAAAAATCCTTCATAATTGCTCTAAAAAACTTTCGCTCACTTTCAAAACATGTGGATTGTTGTAGCCTTCTGATACATGACTGTCACACATGAGGAATCAATTTTTGAATTTTTGGATATCTCCGCCCCTTCTTGACAAAATTTCAGCTTGCACCCTCGAAACCTGCACAAACAGTTTCGTATTAGCACTGATGCTCATAGAGATCTATAAGAAATCTATGAGTATCATTGAGAAGAAAGCGGAAATTTTGAAAAAAATAAAGAAAATAGAGCACAAAATGTCTCAGAAATTGTTTTTTATTTACTGTAACCATGCACGTAAAGGTAAAAATAATTCTAATGGACGGCCCTTTGTTCCTTTCTCATAAAGGCCGAATAGTTATGCGTAAGTTTGTTATGTTTTTCAAAATTCGGAAAAAGTGTAACAAGACGTATGTCATGATCTAATAGATATAGACTATGCAGTCAACGACATGAGTCAATCACGTGAACATAACTGAGCCTTCTAAAAAAACTGCTAATGGTAGGTAATTATAAAGTGACTAAACACCTGATTCTGCAAATTATGTCACGCAAGAACACCCCTGAACAGCCGTTTGATCACGAAAATTTTCTCGGGTAAAGGGGGGGGGGGGGAGTAGCAACAGAAATATTTGCTGGGAAAAATACGCGTCATAGTCCTCCAAAATAATCAAAAGGATCTTCTTTGCGTGCTTCTTTGATTTTTTCATAAAGCTATTTTAGCTGTTTGTAAAGACGATACGTGCCTTTCAAATTTCAATTCTAAGATTAGCATTGAAACGGGGGTTTGTCTTGCGAGGTCACTGTGAGATTTTTGCTGTAACTTCACTGCATTCGAGATGAAACTCGATCCAACAAGAGTTACAGCATATGTAAATATTCAAGATTAGACTGGATTCCAATGATAAGTGACTCTCGAAATTCCTGCATTTGCAAAGTATAACAATCAGCTACAGAACTTCAATAACAAAACCATATAGTTCAAGCTTCAGAAAAAAAAAACAGATTGAGCGTAACTATAATTCGCACACTATGTAGCTAACAGATAGTTTTGGCGTAAATGCTGTACAGATGGTTGAGTCACGCGCATCCCCGAAGATAGACCACTGCGTTCTACCGCCCCAGCTTTCGCTTGAAAACAATATTTCATATGGCCCAAGAACAAAAGTTCAAGGATGAGAAATAAGCGATGCAAATTTTGCTGGTCATTGAGTATTCCTTCATTCGCATTAACATTCGCATATTCCTTTAATTTCATACAGAGAAAAGAAAGAAAGCGATAGAAGTTCCAATAAATTCTGATAATGGGTTTTAAATTTTACAACGATACTATTCATTTGGCCCATTTTGGATTTTGGCGATAACGCCTCAATCAAAAGCCTGAAAAAAGAAAGATAGCCTGTGCATTTTGCATGTTAGTTTCTTCCTTCCACACTGTATTGGTAATTATCTAGTGTTCAGTGGTCTTATTAGCAGAACTCTCTACATAAGGGTGGCAAATGTCGAAACGGAGTGGTTTTTGGGGGTGGGTGAAGAGAAGAGGGAAGTAAAAAGTAAAATCGCAAAAACTTCAATTCTTCTTACCACACGAACGAACTACTACATAAGTTTATGTTAAATACGATTTTGCACAGGCGCGTCAAATTCAAAAATCATTTTCTTGCACTAAGTGAAAGTAGTCGGCTTTATAAGCACAGATAGGGTATGACACCAGGAGCGGTACGCGTAAATCGCCTGTCCGGGTAAGGGTTGCCATTCAGGTGGTATCCTTTTCAAAGCTCGGTGCTCTGGGGATCTGTGTTCTTCCTTGTTTGTCCATCTTTTGGAGGCCTTACTGCCCTAATATTATGGCATAGTGAATAACAGCACTTTGCTGTATAAGCTGAGATCTTCGATTTATTTGTATGATCCCGAACGGGATCCTCATGAAATTACGGCTCTTTTGTAGTCATTTATCTTTGCAACTCAATGAAAACGTCCCAAAAAATGCTCAGCACCGTCACAATAAATGGACAACACATTTCTACGCCGTTTCTATTGAGTTTTTGCAAAAATAAATGACCTCAAAATGAGCCGTGATTCCTTAATCCCTCGGGATCATACAAAATACCGAAGATCTCAGCTTACATAGCAAAGTGCTGCTATTCATTATGCTACAATATTAGGGTAGTAGGCCCTCCAAAAGATCGATAAACAAGGAAGAACACAGATCTCCACAGCACTGAGCTATGAGGCGGATACTTCTGAATGGGAGCTCTTACCCGGAGGGGGATCGATACATACCGCCCTAGATCTAATGTGTATATGCTCAAACGAATTTAATGTAAAATAAAGTTCAAAAGAAGCATTCTACTAGAAGGACTGCATTCCATTTCTTCCATTTGAAAGGGCCACCCTTCCACGTCCCTACGATGCGGAAAATTCCGTCAAGCACTTGAAAAATGAAATAAAAAAGCGAGATACCATTGTGCTATTTTTGAGGTATGATTATTACGGACAGAGATTGACTTTCTCGAGTAACCACGTATACAACCGATTTTAGATCAATCTTGGAGCTGAGAGCTTCATTACCAAAAAAGTTGTACGTCCCGGACTAGGTTGTTTTCTTTTCCTTATTTTAGGAGCCACTGTCAGCGATTTCTAGCCGGTGTGGCCATTGTATTCTTGACATAGGCACACTCAAGTCAGCTAGAAATGAAAATTCTGAATAATTACGGGATTTGACGAATGCAACAAGGACGTTATGATTGCCATTCTTTTCAACAAAGAACAAATCCGTGCACACCCTCGATTCATAACTTTTTATAGCATAATTTTTTGCTACCCCTAATGCGCGCATGAACACGGTTTGGTGTATGCTTATATCGTTTACTCCTTTTGAAGTAATTAATTGCTAATTTAGTACAATAATATCCAAAATTTGCGAAGAAGCTTTACTAAGGTTTAGGATAGTATGTGCATTACGATATCTCTTTGTTTTTCAAAAAAAAAAAATGCTGACCGGCTTTGATTATCTCACCATATCACTGTTATGTACATCACAATGCTCGTTTAGCTATATAGTCATTTCGTGTAATTGCACAAATTTTGAATGTGTACTGGCGAGCAGGTGGATTGTTAGAGTACGATGCCATCTCTATTTCGTAAAATCACTGATTTGTTGTTTTTGTTTCATACTATCATTGAATCATGATGATTCTAATGTCTCGGGCGTATTTTGAGAAGAGATTTGTACAATAGTGAAGTACATAAAACGCTGATTCCAAGTCTGTCTTTCTTATCTGCGGAGGAGCATCACTGGACGAGGAGCTATGTTTTCGGAGCAGAAAAAAAAAATCAAAAATGGTTAAAGTAAAATAGTCGTAGCATTTTCCTAGCACTTAAATGGAGCAGTGTGCACTAAATATTCTTATATAAAATACAGCCACACTCCGCTGCCTCATGTGAGCGGTAGAAAGCTTTTAGCAACTGACTTCTTCCTAAAAGTTCACCGAATTTTCTGCTCCATGAAACACCCATAACTCCTCGCTCATGAGAGCTCCGCAAATTCAGAAGACAGATTTGGAATCAGGATTTTATGCCCTCCAAAATGGTATACATACATCCTATCTCAAAAAGCCACTTCGACCAACATCCTTCGCTTATTAGTAACTGTACAAATTCTAATGCTCAAAATCACTTCCGCCTTGGTCACTTTCTTCACTAGAGTTTTTCCCCAAGAAAGCCATTCTCAGACCGTACCGAATGCGATTATATGTCTGGCTCCGGATGATTTCCTCTTATCAATTTTTTCTCGAGATGATTGACAATTTTCAGTTGACTTGGCAGATTAATTTGATCGCGCTAGTTGACGCGGCGCAGCGGCTACCGAAACGGAAACGAAGCGCCTCTGCCAGAGCAACGATGGTAATCCCAACGGTAAATCATTTCCAGTTTGACGGCAGTCACTTATCAATAGGCTCTAGCATTTGCCTCACTTCGAATGAAATGCACTCTTTACAGGGTGCCAATGGAATGACACCGTGAGTTTTCCTACCTATTTGCTTTCGTTTTATACTACCGTCTACTCGTTCTGAGAAAAAAAAAAAGCTTCAAAAAAGAGCATTGTTTGCATGAGAATCAAGAACAAGTGTTTGCTGTTGAGATCTTCAAAGGTGTGCATATTTACAACAGCCACAGCACTGCCTTTTCACAGCCTTACTGTAGAAGTGAACACCTTGAACTATAAAAAAATTGAAAAACTGAAATTGAGACTTTGAGCTAACCAACCTGTATGGCAATGCAGAAATTGTCTTCTCCGCAGCGATTGTTTACTCGCAGCTTGTATTCGCCTCGGTCTTGCGTGGAGATATCGTTGATTGTAAGTACCGTGTTATATGTACTGTTTTCAATCTTAAATTGCAATCGTGGGTACGGGTAAAAAAGCGAGTTTGTTCTCGTTTTTTATGACGTTCTTTTTGAAACCCACCTTGTACTTCGCTGATTCTTTGATGAGTTTGCCAGTATTGTCAAACCATTCTATGCTTGGTGCTGGACGGCCTAAAAGTAATCAAAGAATATTTGCATCGCGAATGGCTCCTGAATGAATTTCAAAAAAAAAAGTGGCAACTACTTTTCCAAGAAAACTTTTCTAAGAAAAGCAATTTGTGTCAAATATTTTCAAATTGGTCTGGCTATCCACAAGTATATACAAGTCAGTTGCATAATTTTGATAATTCTGTAAGCCATTTAGAAAATTTCGAGATCCATTCTTGAAAGAGGCTTTTTACGAAAGTGCTTTAGGTCTTTCATATTGCTCCAAAACCCTACGATACACTCCCTTATTCGAGTAAATGTGCAAAGTAATCCAACTGTCACTTTCTGAATCCCCACGAGTGCTTCTCACGAAAGAATAGTAAATTAATTAAGTAATACTGATTGCACGCAGATTTGTACTCTAAGTAAATTGGTTGGTTTGCAGTTACTAGGTTGTCCCGAAATCATAGAATATTGAATCATAGAACACAGATCGCTTAACGAATTAGCTATTTCTCGATTCAGATTTTGATTATTTTTCTGAATTCACTCTCTGTTTTTGCAGTCCCTACCATGTTAGCGGAGAGGTCTTCGAGCAGTACAACAGTAACCCAAATTTTTCCAATTCACACTACATAGATGTAGTTTTTGCAGCTTGTAATAATTGTATTCAAAAGAAAACCACGCTTTCTGAGCAATTGTAGCCTACAGGAGAAACGAAAGTTCTAAAAAATGTGATTTTCTGAATCAGATAAAACACGATCATTATGCACAAGTGATGTTTTTAATGATTAAGCTTTAACTCGTAAAAGCCTTGGTTGCAGGTTTTTGATGCAGTTGTGTGTTTCAGGACTTCTCCAAAAAGTGGGATCTTCAAAAAAAAAAAAAGTTTTTGAAGATATGAACAACAAATCAGGAGAGTTGAAAAGTACCTCCTTATAATCCGAGATTCGCTTATGAATTACACTTACTCTTTTCCGAAATTATAGAGTAAAATTCTTGTAACTTAGACGAAGTTTGAGCAGATAAAATGAGTTGAGAATTTCTGCAGTTATCAGAAAAACTATACAAGATTATGGTCTGCAAATGCAATCCTTGAGAAGAGAAGAGAAATCTGCATTGGATGCATGTGTAAGTTTATTCATGTATTCAATATACGAGTTTCTACAGTCATTCGGAAAAACCAACAAAACTCCGGAACAACCTATATGTGATATATTGCAGATATATTTCGCAGTTCTTGAGCTATTTGAACAAGAAATGAGAAAAAGATTGAACGGTGGCGCTATATGCAAGGCTTAGGTATCTCTTTGAAAGTTTTTCTATAATTTACATTTCTTTGAGTACCGTGACGATTTTTTTGTTCGGTATACCGTTTGAATAAGTCCATCCATTGAGTACACTTCCCATACTACGAAAAAAGAAGCTTCGCAAAAACCAAGAGCCACACTTTTTTTACGCGCGGCCCACGCGCGGGTGACCGGCCTTTCCCAGCGGATTTTCTTGCCGAACTGCCTCTGATCGACGACGGAGAGGCGCCTTGACGGCGCTAATTCGGTGACAAACTCTCGAACTCGTCCGCATCCGCAGCCGTTTCCGTTCTGCATACAAGTTGATGTGATTCTTCGAATTCGAGAGGGGGTGTGCGCGACGCGAAATTTCGGATTGAAGCCGAGAGAGGAGGCGTGGCGCGCGACGCAAGCTGGACGACGGCAAGTTGGCAGCGAGCCATCTCCCAGTCGCCATTCACCCACTGTCTAGATTTTAATTGCCTCACAATCCTCGTCTAATAAACCCCGTAGGCGAACTAGCCACTGGGTAGCAACATTTTTTCACTTTGACATTGTTTGATATTTGCTAGTTCAGTACCACCCAACAATCGACAAAATGCCTACTATGTGAGTTTTTTACGCTTATTCTTCACTCTGGAAATCATATTGTTGCTGTTTGTTAGATTGCAAACGCCAAAGCTTGTCACTCTCTCAGCGAACCCCATGAGAACAACGCATTCACACCCTTTGCAAATAAGCATTAAGATTTGCTTCCCAAAGGGTTCCCATTATGTAATGCACTCTCATAATGTGAAAAATGGCCCAATATGCTCCATTTCTAATGGACTATGCAAAAAGAACTTTTTGCAAGCCATTGGTGGGATTTGGGGTGCTGTATACTACTAAACACGGTCATTTATAGTCACATCATATTTGCGAAGTTCTTTTGTGCACTGGCTCAAGTCTTCTCTGTTGTAGCCGGGATTAGGCATGAAGGGTAATCAGTCCCTGACAAATGCTGGAGCTGTGTAATCGTTTTACTTGAATTGAAAGTACAGAACTTGCAGAAGTGGAAAGTTGATTACGTGTAGAGATTAATGTTTTTGATTGCACGGAATTTCCCAGCAGCTGTACTATAAAGAAAGTAAGGGTTTTTATCAATTACATGGACTTCTTCTAGAAACTGCTTTATTATTAGTTTTTTTACCGTCATCTTCAAAACGTGAATATGCACAAAATCTCATTACGATCACAGACTTCTTTGAGCGCTGAAGAAGCTGAATATTGATTTGTTCTGGAATTTATGAATTTTTGAGAGTTCGATTTCACTACAGGTACTCCTAATCCGCTATTGATCTCAAACACGAGTTGCTGACTGCTTTCTTCTACTGTTCTGCTTCCTAAGCCTTGAATCGCTCGTTGTTAGAATTTCCTTCTCCTAGTTTGCTAAAATGTGTCAAAACCAGCTAACAACTTGCCTGCGAGTGTGATATGGAAGTAGAGACTGACAAATGCAGACTCATCAATTTTGCCCCTTGAAATTCGGATTACAATTTTGACTAAGACCTGCTTTGTTTATTTCCGCCCTTCTCGCAGATTATTTCCGACAAAGGAGGGTTTTAGTGCGAGCTTAATGTAGCGTACATATGCTCCCTGCCTTTTAGAGTCTTTTCAAAAAACTGGAATGACTTGAGATGCTCTCCGGAGCATCCAAATTTGGCGGCTTCAAGCGTGCAAATTGCCCATTATGTCGCAGCACCAAAGAGCTTCAGGACCATATGCTTCCCCACAGTCCATTTTTGCGTTCCAATAGCCATGTAAAAATGTCTAATGGAGGAAGCAATTAGTGAATGCTCCATGTTTTATGGACTTTACTTCATCCAGTTATAATCGAATCCATGCTGAAGCCGTCGCGATGAGGGCCTTTCTTGATTGAGTCTAACCAGCCACCATAGCCGGGTAGCAAATTGATGGGGGGCATAGTATGATGTCTCCATCATATGGACAATGCTCATTTTGCTTTTATTTCTCACGCAGCTAGAGCCTTGACGGACTAAATTGCAGCATGAATTGCTGGGAAATAGCTCCTCATATATTCTTTAGAAACACGCATGATGTAGAACAAGCCGGGTCCGGCAGATCACGCTAAGACGTAGGTCTAGCGATAAAAAACGGAACCTATCTCCGAATGATCTGTGATTATTAGTTCTACTAGTCAGAAAACTTCAATATGTCTTGGAGGCGCCAAATGAGGAGATTAGGAGGTTGTCAGGGACAAGTCAAGGAAGAAGTTCTCTTATAGTTTTCTTCTCCATTTCTTTTTTCGGAGCACCACTGTGCAGGACGCATAAACATACGTAGATAAGTAAATGAGTAAATCATATAATCAGAAAAAACACAGTAAAGCTTCGATAGTTTCATATGTACATATATCACAGCAGGAAAGTCTACTCTCTTTGAAAAGGGATCATTAAAGCACTGATTTAGAGATAGTAGAATTTCAAAAAAAAATCAAACTTTCAATCACCCCCTTTCTTCCCCTCTCAGCCAGATGGACGAGACGCAATTCATCATCTGAATAAAGCATTACTGAAACTTGCGCAGAGCCTCAAGCCTCCAATATCAACGCATTTTCTGAGTATTTTCTGAGTACAACATGTCGCACAAATGAACATCTGTTAGCGTCACCTACGAAGAAGTTTATACTTCGTTTGTATTCTGTTCTTATTTTTTTTCTTTTTTTTTTGATTGGGGCTCATTTTTTGACAAGCGTCTCGACCGTGATGTAGGACACAGCGTCATCTTTGAAGCTTTTGGACCATACACACAAGAGGCTATAGTGTTATACCCTAGTACAATCAATACCGACAATCTAAGGCTATATAAAAAGCTGGCCTTAGCGAGTATCCATTAGCTATCACGACTTTCCGACAGACCAAAAGTGCATTTACTGCTTTCCTACGACGCAAAACTGCAGACAAAGCTTGACACGCTATTTTACATTTTACTATCTATGAGCAAGGCATGGAGAGATGATCCTTAAGGATGAATTAGCTCCATAATTTTACCCAAATACTTCTCATCCTTCACCTTAGTCTATGACGTGCACGACATACAATTACCTGGCTAGATAACCACTTCCTGAGTGCATGTTCAAAAAGGCTGACAGCTGCTACTGAGGACGCCATGGAAAATTCAAGGAACCTTGCTTGCATTGTAGGAATATAAACAAGATATGTTCGAAAAAAGGGAAGTTAAGTTTATCAGTTGCAAAACACGAGGAGTTGGGGTGGTTTGCAAAGAGGGTAATCTAGTTCAATGGTCTTGAGGCGAACAATAACTGTAGATTAATTCAAGGAGTGGGAGTTCAATATCCAATTGTATTTTCGCAATATTATGAAACTTCTGATAAAAAAGTTATGGCACTGCGGCGTTTTCAGTCGGACAGTGTTCACAAAACAATTACAAAAATTTGAAAAAAAATTCTGAGTTGGATTATCAGCAGCGCATGATCTTGCTATTACCTAATATTAATTCTAAGAAACCTATAGCTTTCCGAATTTGAAATGATGATTACGCGGCAGAGAAAATCTATTGCGAAAAATTTTCCAGGCTGCAAGAACTCCAGTATTTTTGACTCCATTGTTGCAAGGTAACATCAAAGTTATGTAGGTTCGTAGTTATTTAATACCTCAGACACTTTCGTTACCACATACTTTATCAAGTTCAAAACCAAACTCATTTTTTTCATGTGTGAAAATTCAATACATTATGTAACCCTATGGATACAAGCGCTGTGCATTAAGTACTCTAGTAAATTATTTATGGTTTTACATTTTCACTCATGAGACCAACAGAATACGCAAAGTAAAGAAGCGATTAGATTGAGGGAAGAATGAATGTAATCGCTTTCGAAAAAGTGAAAGTGGATTTTGTGGGAAGATACAATTTTTAGTCCCGTCTCCTTCTTTCTTGCACAATTGCGACGAAATAAAAAAAAGTAAAACGCAGAATTTGAGGTGCTTTGTATAACCCAAGCAAAAGTCGAGGGCATGAGATGTAAATTCAATTTATCACGCGCTGCACACACATACCGAATTCAGGCCAGCACATAGGACGAACTGGAAAACTTTATTTGCAAGTTATGTGTGTTCGCTCGTCACCACAGTGCTGCACGAAGATTTAAGGGAATGTACTTCGAGATTCTGCAAGATTCGTTTATGTTGCAGGCAAAATGCATGGACTAGCGAGGCTCGAAATCAAGTGCAGAATAAGTGAAAGATTAACGACCCTACGGTTGTTAGCAAGCGGGTAAGGCAAATCGCTAGAGATGCCTGGGTTAGAATATTGATATTTTGACACTACTGATCTGTTTGAATGATTTCCTGCACAAACCCGAATAGTTATGATAAATAAGTTATCCTTTGTTCGAAAGATTCCTCATGTGGGCCGTAGAAGGTAGTGTTCAACTTGTTACAAAAAATAAGAGCATATACTCAGAAACCATTCGCTTTCTTTCTCAAAATCCCCCGCAAGATTTTGGTTATCTGTCTAAAACTTGCAGAAAACTTCACGAAGGCTTTTCAACATTTCTTCAGAATAAGAGATTACCCACAACTACAAACAAAACTTAAGTAGTCATTTTCCGGTAATAAAACTATGCTGGCCAGATTTGGACGGGTATGAAAATTTCCTCAATTCCCACGAAGGATTTCGTAGATTTTTTAATACCTTTTCGTTATGCGCCCATTTTCGACCAAATATTATAAGCGTGTACCTTGTATTTAGACAGCATTCACAGAGTATTTGGCGAAGGCTCGACAATTCAAAAGTGACATCGGTATTTTTTGAAAATCCCGAGCCAACAGAGGTTCTGCTCTCAAAATAATGTCCCAATTTTGAGTTCGGCAACAAAGATGCTTCCCAAAATGCCCTAAGTGCTGCGTACAGAACGTCATAAAAAATGAATTGCTGTAAGGTCCTACAAGAAATACTCTTAATGCTGAAAATGTTTTTTAATCCCTGCATTTCCTTGAAATCTACGTGCCGCTTACAGATCATTATTCACAAAAAAGATGCCTCAAGATTCTAGAGGTAAATCACTCAATGCACAAAACGGAGTTGATCTTGAATTTCTCAAAACGCCCAAAGCGCCGCTTACAAACCATCATTTACAAGATGGAAATACTTCAAGATTCTATAGACGACTCACTCTTAACGCCCAAAACGATTCAATTCTTGGAATCCTACAAACAGACAAGTAAAAGATCCTAGAAAATGAAAAGCGTCATTCAGGATAATTCCAGACATCCAGTTTAGGGTGTTCCAAATTTCGCGGACCTTTACTATAGAACACTTTCAATACATTCTCGTCATTAAACATCAGTGATTTCAGAAGATCTCCAAAGCGTCTAAAAACTTTTGTGGTGGATTTAACATTTTTTTTCACGTCCGCAGGGCA